TAGTTGTAGTTAAAGTAGTCATAGTAGTAGTTGAAGTACTTCAATAAGATGAGTAGTATCAGTAGTTGGAGTAGTACTGGTAGTAGTAGTAGTAGTAGTAGTAGTAGCAGGAGTAGTAGTAGTAGTCGTCGTCGTCGTCGTAGTAGTAATAGTGGTCGTGGTAGTAATATCCCGTCTTCTTTGACACAGTACTACCACTACTATCAATACTTCGACTAGGAGTAGTAGTTGTTGTAGTAATAGTAGTAGTAGAAGGGTAGGAGGAGTAGCAGTAGTAGCCGTACACCTACTAGTAGTCGTAGCAGTAATACTAGTGTTAGTAGTAGTAGTAGTAGTAGTAGTAGTAGTAGTAGTAGTAGTAGTAGTAGTAGTAGTAGTAGTAGTAGTAGTAGAGTAGTAGTAGTAGTAGTAGTAGTAGTAGTAGTAGTAGTAGTAGTAGTAGTAGTAGTAGTAGTAGTAGTAGTAGTAGTAGTAGTAGTAGTAGTAGTAGTAGTAGTAGTAGTAGTAGTAGTAGTAGTAGTAGTAGTAGTAGTAGTAGTAGTAGTAGTAGTAGTAGTAGTAGTAGTAGTAGTAGTAGTAGTAGTAGTAGTAGTAGTAGTAGGAGTAGGAGTAGGAGTAGGAGTAGGAGTAGTAAGGCTGACAGTAAGCGCCAACGTGATGGTAAGAGTAAGGGTACGCGAAATAGTAAATGTCAGGGTACGAGTCAGAGTAAGAGAAGATTTTGCAAAGTAAACATCGCATTTGCAGTTGCAGTAGTAGAAGTAGTAGTAGGAGTCGTAGCAATAGTACTACTAGTAGTAGTATGAGTCGTAGTGAGAGTAGTATAAGAAGAAGAAGAAGAAGCAGTAGTAGTAGTAGTAGTAGTAGTAGTAGTAGTAGTAGTAAGAATAGTAGCAGTGCAACCCCTAAGGCAAGGGAAGAGAGGACGGATGGAAGGAACGGACAAGGGGGAGGGATTAGGATGGAGCATGAGAGAGAATAGCAGGAGGGGGGCTAGGAGCAGAAAACACTTGGCAGAAGCAGACGGGCAAATCGGGCGGGTAGACCCTAACAGGCGTGTCGGGAAGGCGGGCCCAGTCGACCAGGTCGAGCAGGCGGGTTGCTGAAGCGTGCGTGCTGCATGAATCTCGAGGAAGTTTCGAGCGACAGCGCGATTCCCAAATAATCGTGAGGACATGCACAGAGAGAGCATGATTCCTGAGTGTCGAGAGCGCGGCGTCTGAATGAATTGCGAGGAAGTCCGGCGCGAGTGCGCGATTTCTGCACAATTTGTCAGGAGATCCTGCGCGAGAGCGCGACTTGGGAATACATTATGAGGAAGTATCAGGCGGGAGACGTTGTTGTTTGTTGTTGTAAACCAGGGGCCAGGGGCACAGTTTGATGGCACCTCATTTTCCCTCATTATTCAGGAACGACTATTCAACAGCAGCAACAGCAGCAACAACAACGCAACAGCAACAAGAGCAACACCATCAACAACAACAACAACAAGAGCAACACCAACAACAACAACACGTACAGCAGCAACAACTACAGCAACTCAGACAGCAATAGCAAAACCACCACCAGGAGCAGCAGCAGCAACAACAGCAGCAGCAGCAACGACAACAATCCGCGCTGCACAACCTCACTTCAGCCGCCGCGCGCCCAGGGACTGTGCACGACCGTTCGGCCCCCTCGCCCTGATCTGCATGCCGTGACCTTCCCCTACCGAGCGTGCTTCCTGGACTGGCCTGGAACGTTCGCGACCTGCGACCTTGGTGTGCCTACGGTCGGGGAACTCTGGCGGAGCCTGCCGCACTGCCTTGTTCTGTGGGAAGCCGGGGCAGGGGCTGCCAAATCCGTGGCTGCTTAGAAGTCGACCTCCGGGAAGTTGCCTTCGTCCCTGCCGCGCTGCCGGTTCTGTGGGAAGCCGGGCAGGGGCTGCTCAATCCGCGGTTGCTTATAAATCGACCTCCGGGAAGCTGCCTTCGTCCTTCCTGGCAGAAGCCCGTTGACTGCTTCGCGTGCCGCGCCTCCTTCCGGGAAGCTGTTTTTTCCATTCCGGGAGGGCCGCTTCAGCAGCCACGGTTTTAAAGCAGCCCCCGCCCAGCTCTCGACAGATGGAAGAGGAGTGGGAGGTGGAAGCCAGCAGAGCGCGGCCGGCTGTCGGAGCCGCAGCAGTGGACCGCACCGCCCTCGGCGGCGTCATGTGCTGCCCGCCCCGGGAGGCAGTCTTTTTCATAACGGTCCGGAGCTTGTGGGCAGCGCGTCGCGGCGGCGCCTGGCATCGCTCGGACGTGTGCATTTTTTCTCGGCGAAGGCCATCGAGGAGCATCCTTGATCATGTGGCGAAAAACCCACGCACGAAACCGAACAAAAACACAGGGAATGGACGTCGGAGCGATGGCCAGGGCGGCCCCGGGAGAGCGCCATAGATGCCTTGCGAGTGGCCATAGCGTGTCGCCCCGCTCCCCGGGGGCGCCTGGCCGCACAAGGCTGCATGGGACCTCGACGCCTGGGGGCCGGTGGGGGAGGTGGACAGCGTGTCTCAGGAGGGAAAAAACGCACAGACACAATGAATCGTCGATTTCCCAGAAAATATGGGAAAATATGGGCAGTGTGGGGGCGGAGACAGAACCCCCAGAAGATATGGGGAAATATGGGGAATCCTTGTATTTGTGTAGATTTGTTTGTGTGTCCTGGGGCCCCTTCAGTGTCGCGCCGCGTGGGGGGCCAGAACCCGCGCAGCGACGCGCCAGGCCAGAGTTCCGGGCCGCAGCCTCCCCGGGCCGCCACGCTCGAGGCTGCTCCTGAGTGGCTGAAGCAGGGCTGGCCCGCTCTTGTCCTCCAGGTCAAGGGTGACGAACCAACAACACACACACCCATACCCATAGGGGGGTCGGAGAGGGCCATGGGTGCGTGCTGCCGGATGGGGGTCCCCGCTCGAACGGGAGCGTTCCCCAGGGTCCGACAACCCGCAGCCATACCCATAGCCAGTCCTCCTCCCAACGACCCCCTTATGGGTGTGGGTGTGTGTGTGTGTTGCTCGCTCGTCGAAAAAGCGTGTTCCTGAGAAGGGCTTCGTTTCGAAGGGGGGCAGGGCAGTGGCCCCGCGCACGCGGCGGCAAAAGTCCACAGAAGTCCGCGGAGGTAAGACTGGCTCCGCCAGAAGAAGCTCACGGAAGGAAAGACCCCCACCCCAGAGACGTGTCAACATTGAACGGCATCGTGTTCGGAGTCGCGGAGTCTTGGATAAGTGCGTGTGTGTGTAAGCCGGCAGTTTCCGCTGCGTTCTTTCTCTCTGAGCGTGATACTCTTCCACGCCACCCTCGCAGACTGCCCGCGGCAATCTAGGCTCCAGCTGCTTTTTCGCTCGTCGTCAAGGAAAAGCTCGTGTTGCTGCGCGCACCATGTCTCGGCGGGTACTGGCTTTGATGGCGGCCTCCTGGTCTTCGGCGCTCGCCACCGAGCTCGCCAACGCCTCGTCTTGCGTCTCCAACTCCGGGAGACCGTACGATGAGGAGGATTGCAATTGGTACGGCAAGGGCCGCGGCTGTGTTTGGGTGGGCGGGGAGTGTATGTGCCAGGGCGGTGGGTACTACTCGAAACGGCAGCGGACGTGCTGGCCAGGTTCATCAAAATCTCTGCCGACGCCGTCGCCCTCCCTGCCACCAGCGCCAGCGCAGGCGCCAGCATTTCCGGTCGCCACCGAGCTCGCCAACGCCTCGTCTTGCGTCTCCAACTCCGGGAGACCGTACGATGAGGAGGATTGCAATTTGTACGGCAAGGGCCGCGGCTGTGTTTGGGTGGGCGGGGAGTGTATGTGCCAGGGCGGTGGGTACTACTCGAAACGGCAGCGGACGTGTCGGCCAGCATCATCATCATCATCATCATTTTCGAAGCCGTCGCCCTCGCTGGCACCGTCGCCAGCGCCGGCGCCAGAATTACCAGTCGCCACCGAGCTCGCCAACGCCTCTTCTTGCGTCTCCAACTCTGGTAGACCGTATGATGAGGAGGACTGCGATTGGTACGGGAAGGACCGCGGCTGCGCTTGGGTGGACGGCGAGTGCAAGTGCCAGGGCGGTGGGTATTATTCAAAACGGCAGCGGACGTGTCGGCCAGCACCATCATCATCCCTGTCGACGCCCTCGCCAGCGTCATCGCCAGCGCCAGCGCCCCCATCACTGGTGCAGGCACCGTCACCTTTGCGCGCCGTCCAGTTCGCCAATGCCTCCTCTTGCGTGTCCAACCATGGGAAGCCATACGATGAGGCCGACTGCGGTTGGTATGGCAAGGACCGCGGTTGTGCTTGGAACGACGGCGAGTGCAAGTGCCAGGGCGGTGGCTATCCCGGCGCCTGCGGCCGCGCTCTTCCGCGAGCTCGTGAGTCCAGAGAACCGTTATACGTAACACACATGTATTCACAGGGCCAGTGGGGGCAGTGATAGGTGTCATCTTGCTTCCCCAGGTTAGGGAAGCCGTATCATGTAGGAGGAGGAGGAGGAGACGGAGGAGGGGGAGGAGGAGGAGGAGGAGGAGGAGGAGGAGAGGGATGGCTATCGAGTGGAGGGAGAAAAGGAAGGTCGGGGGTACGTAGAGGGGCTGTTATCCCAAGGATGACTTAGCAACCAAGTCCGGCATGGATGCTTTAAACTTTCTGCGTTGCAGAAGAGGGCAGGAGCGATGATCCTATAGCCTCACCCCTGCCCCAACCCCGCCTGTCTACTTCCCCCCGAGAAGGGAAGGAGGCGGGGGAGAGAGAAAATGAGGGAGGCTCAGGTCTTGGAGTGACTCCGCGGGGATCCTGGGGCCCTCTCGGGACGTCCAGGGGGCTTCCTGGGCACCTCCTGGGACGCCTTCGGGCTTCTTGGGGCGCCCTGACTTGTCTTGGGGGCCTCTGGGGGCCATCTTGGGCCGCCTCGGGACGTGTTGGTGCCCTCTGGGCTCCTCTTGGCTTGTAACAGCTGTGTCTTCGGCCGTCTTGGGCGCCTCTGGGTACGCGCTTCCACCTTGGGCTCTAGTGGGACATCTTTGACCGCACTGGGCAGTTACTGGGTCGTTCAGGGTCCATCGCGGCGCCTGCCTGAGCACCGAAGCCTGTGAAGTTGGTGAAGCAGCGACCGTTGAACAGCTTATGCTTTTTGTTCTTCCAGTTGTCCTGGCCCACTCTGAGGGGATTCTTGGATGTCTCTTGGGGATCTCGTGGGCCTCGGCGGCTTCGCGGGCGCCGTCTGGGCCGCGTTCTGGGAGGCCGTCTCGAGCCATCTCGGGGCCCCCCAGGCTCGAAGGGCACTCCTCGGATCCTCTCCGCCCGTCTTGTGGACCTCTGTGGTCATGTCTGGGGCTGTCCCCTTCGCACTCTGGAGGCCATCCTGGGCCGAGGCGCCTGCGAAGCCACGACCGCTGGATGAGTGGGCTCCAGTGGGCCCCTCGGGGGCGTCGCGGGAGTCTCCCGGGGGTCCTCCTCTCTGGGGGTCTTCGACGCGTCCTCGCGCCCTCGCGAGACCATCTTGGGGAGGCACGAGCGGCACTGCTGCGCCGTCGCTGGGCCCTCCTCGGCGCCTCCTCGAGCCCTCGGGCTCTCGGGTCCCCACGTCGAGCCTCTCCAGGCGGTGTGGTGCCCCTGCGGGCCCCGCTCGGCCCGCGCGGGCGGCTCGGCGCCTCCTCCTCCTCCTCCTCCTCCTCCTCCTCCTCCCCCTCCTCCTCCTCCTCCTCCTCCTCCTCCTCCTCCTCCTCCTCCTGGCGCCCCTCCGAGGCCTTCTTGTGCCCTCTTGGGCCGGGTTGGGGACTTCTCGGTCCAGCCTGGATCCGTCTTGAGACTCCTCTCGGCACTGCGGAGACCATCTTGACCAGGGAAGCCTGGCACGCACATCTGCTGGAGCTGCTGGTGCAAGTGTCACCATGATCTTGGCTGTGTGGGAGAGCCTCGTGGATAATCGTGAAGACCTCTTGAGCATGTTGGGGTCCGTGTTGGCCCATGTTGGGCCGGCTCGGAGGCCGGGGGCATTTGAGGCCGCCATGGTGGCGTCGTGCTGCCCAAAGACATCGGGACGGAGGCAACGCATGTCTGCGAGTGTATGCTGACAGGAGGGCCGTAGACAATGACAGAACCCTGACGACAGCACTCGGCATCTTACCACGCCACAGCTTACCAGGGGGTGAAGATGGCGGACTACTCGAAACGGCAGCGAACGTGCTGGCTGGCACCATCGCCGGCGCCACCACCACCGCCAGCACCATCACCACGGCCGATGCCATCAACGTCGCGAGCACCATCGCCAGTGCCAGCGCCATTGCCGGTGAGCGTGGACCACTTCACCCACCTCCTCAAGGTCTTCGAGTGGGTATTGGGGATCCTCGGCGCTGGCGCCACGGCGACAGCAGCCATCAAGGGGCCCTGCAGCAGGGCCCGTAGGCAGCGCGCGCTGGAGTGGGTGCTCGAAGAAGGAAACAGGCCCTGAACACAATCTTTTTGCGCTCCCCGCGGTTCTCCTGGATCTGCGCTGGACACCCCTCCCTGTCGCGCGGAGCGTGCCAGGGGCGGCGCCGGAGGCGCCGCCGCGGGGGGCCCAGCGGGGATCCAAGAAATCCGCGCGTAGCGCAAAGAGTTCATGTTCATGGCGTTTTTTTCTTGTTCCAGGTGGGGCGGCGGCCGCAGCAGCGGCAGCCGATGCTGGAGGACAGCGGCGCCGACGGTGACGTCGAAGTCGCACGGCAGTCCCAGGCTTCCGCGTGAGGGCCGCGCGGCCTTCTGCGGGGCCCCGCGCTCTTTCCCGGGAGCTGGCGCCGCGTGCGCCGGCACCGTACTTCAAGTTTGAGGCTGCGCCTGACCGTTGCCACCGCTGATTGAGGGGGGGCGGGGGGGAGAACGAGCAACGAGGAGGAGGAGGAGGAGGAGGAGGAGGAGGAGGAGGAGGAGGAGGAGGTGGATCTGGAGTACGACGACGACGACGAGCAGGGGGAACAGAGGAGAAGGACGACGATAAGGAGGACAAGGAATAAACGGTGGAGAGGAGGAGGAGGAGGAGGAGGAGGAGGAGGAGGAGGAGGGAACGTGAAAGAGCGAGAGGGAGATATATAGAGAGAGAGAGAGAGAGACAGAGACAGAGACGGAAACAGAAAGAGAGAGAGAGAGAGACAGACAGACAGAAAGAGAGAAAACGGGAAAACAACAGAGATAATGAAAGAGATGATAATATGTTTCGGCACGTTCTTGGTATGTCTGAGGGTATATGTTCGAACCCTCTTGTGCTATCTTGCGGCGATTGGGGATCGATCCTCTTGGGCCGTCTGCGCGTTCTGTGGGGACCCAGCGGGACTGTCTTATGAGCGGCCTCTGCAAAAAGCCTGGGGACCCCGTCTGGAGGCCGCTTCGGGGCACTGCTTGATACGTGTGGGGGGCTTCGCCAAATGAATTTTGGAAGTTATGGGGTCACCCCTGGGCAGTGCTGACAAGTCTTGGGCCGACAAGCCTGGGCAGCAAGAGAATTGTTGAGTCGGGCATGCCCCTCTACGGAAGGAAAATTCCAGAATAGTAGAATATGCTCCGGGGACGATGTTTCTTCTATGCTCGCATATTTTTGAATCTTGCGCGGCTAGATTGATCTTTCTTCCAAACGCCGCCAGTAGGAGGACATGCCCGACCGAAGGGCATCGAAAGGCGCACCGCGCCCTGCTTGCGCACCGCCCGGTGCAAGGCGCACTCGGCAAGACCAGGGGCCTCGCCTGGGGCCTCTTCCTGGGCCTCCCTGCGGCCCCCCCCCGTGCGGCCAGGAAATGTTTGCGCCCGGCGCGTCGCGCCGCCGGTTCCGGCCCACCACGCGTGGCGGGACACGCTGCCCACCTCCCAGCCCCAGGCGTCAGCGCCCCGAGCCTTCGCCCGGCGCGTCGCCACGCGGAGCGGAGCGGCACGCCGTCCGTCTGCAGAACGTCGCGTGTCGCCGGCGCCGCCGCCGCGACAAGCTGAGCAGAGGTTCCGGACCCGCCCCGGCGGCGCAGCATGGCCCCCATCTCGGGCCCCTCTGCTCAGGACGCCCAGGAGGGGGGGGCGGGGGGGGGGGGGCAAAGGCCTCCGGGGTGCGCGGGTGCCGTGGCAAGGGGCCCGGGAGCCTCCCAGAGTTCGGGGCCCCCTCTTCTCCTGGCTTTCGCGTCACGGCTCGGTGCTCCGGGCGGGGCGGTCCGGGGCACGCCTTTTTGGAAGTGCCCCGACGAGGCGCGGCTGCCAGAGCGCACCCTGAGGCTGGGCGGCCGCCCACGCCTTCCCCCTCCTCGAAGGCCCCTGCTGTCAAGCAGTGGCGAAGCGTCCCGGCGTGCCTATAGGCCTACCAAACCATTGTCTGAGAACCTCTTGTGGTTCCCACGAACTGTTCTTGGAACATCTCTGGCTGGGACTGTCTTGTTTTAACACATCTGGCTTATGTTCTAAGAACATTGCTTTGGTTCCTATAGCATGTTTGGGTTCCAAGAACATGTCGTGGTAGGCCTAAAGGAATGCCAGGAGGATCGGCCCCTGCTCAAGAGATCCTGGCGCCGATTTTCGTTGGACCCCAGGTTCCCCCTGCGTCGGGCTCACGGGGCCCTCCGGGATCGGTCCGGCCTGAGAGGTGCCGCGGAGGGCTCGGAGTGCCCCGGCCGTGCTTTTCCCGAGCTTGCTTTTCGCTGTTCGACGTCGGATCTTGGGGCCTGGCGCCTCGGAAACATCAAGGCGGCCAGGTTGTGGCCATTTTCCCTGACCTTCCAGAGAGCTATTTTTCAGCACTGGAGACCTAAAAACCTAAAAAGCTGAGCGAAACAGCCTAAAACCAAGACGTATAATAGCTTTGGGATAGGTTTTTAAGTCGTGTGCCATTTTTTAGCCCTCCTGGAAGGTCCGGGTTTGGCCTCTGGAGGCCGGTCTCTGGCTCCCCTCCACGGCCCGCGCCTCGAGCCTCCTGGGCGGCGCCCTGGGTAGCCCCTCTGGGCCCGCCTCCCGCGGCCGCGGTCAGGGCCCGCACGGAGGACTGCCCGAGGGCTGGCCGGCCGAGGCGCCCGCCCGAAGCCTCGGCCACGGCCCACGCCCAGCTGGACTGTCCTCCTCCTCCTCCTCCTCCTCCTCCTCCTCCTCCTCCTCCTCCTCCTCCTCCCTCTTCCTCTCCTCCTCCTCCTCCTCCTCCTCCTCCTCCTCCTCCTCCTTCATCTCCTATCTCCTCCTCCTCCTCCTCCTCCTCCTCCTCTCCTCCTGCTCCTCCTCCTCCTCTCTCCTCCTCCTCTTCATCATCATCATCAGCATCATCATCATCATCAGATCATGATCATCATCATCATCATCATGATCATCATCAATCATCATCATCATCATCATCATCATCATCATCATCATCGTTCATCGTCATCATCATCATCATCATCATCATCATCATCATCCGCCTCCTCCTCCTCCTCCTCTCCCTCTCCCTCTCCTCCTCATCCTCCCTCTCCTTCTCCTCCTCCTCCTCCTCCTCCTCCTCCCTCTCCTCCTCCTATCTCTCCTCCTCCTCCTCCTCATCCTCATCCATCATCATCATCATCATCATCATCATCATCATCATCATCATCATCATCATCATCATCATCGCCTCCTCCTCCTCCTCCTCCCCTCCTCCTTCTCCTCCTCCTCCCTCTTAGGTCGCCGACCTGTAGGAAACCCTGGGAACAAATCCTCCTCTCCTCGCTCTCCTTTTCCTCCTCCTCCTCCTTCCTCCCTCTCCTTTCCCTCCTCCTCCTCCTCCTCCTCCTCATCCTCCTCCTCCTCCTCCTCCCTCTCCTTCTCCGGGGGAGGTTCGACGCCCCCCCGCCTCGCAGAACGTATAGCTGCCGACCAGAGGGGGCCCAGGCGTCGGCGGGAGGCCAAGCGCGCTGCTGACCATCAGCGGTGAGCGCCGCAGCAGGGCGCCCTCGCTTTCGCTTCGGCCTGCGACCCCGCCCACCCCCGGGGGCGTGCCCTGCGTTTTACCCGACAGCCTCTGCAGGGTTGTCAGAGGCTGCGCTCAGATGGGGGCACAGGCACTCGTCTCATGCAAGCGCCACGATCGGAGAATCTGAAAGCGGCACGGGCATGAACTTCGGAGGTCCACGCGGGTTTCTCAGATCTGCGCTGGGCCCCCACTGGCGGTGCCTCTGGCACCACCCGTGGCGCGCTCCGCGGGCCAGCCGGGAGCCCCCAAACGGTGCGGTGACCACGCCGCGTGGTGAGTCAGTGGGGATTCGGGACCACCGCACGGTTTAGGGACTCGGGGCGCTGTCCGAGGACGTCTCGGGCGACCGGGGCCTCCGAGGTCCCCGGACCGTTCCGAGGCGGACCGCGCGGTGAGGTCTCGTGGGGGTGCGAGCCCGCCGCCTGGTTTGTCACCGCGCGGCGTGTGGGACCCCCGAAGAAAGGGGGGGGGGGCGGCTCTGCTCCGTGACGCCCGCGGGGGCTTTCGAAAGGTCTGCTTCGTCTCTGCGCTTCTGCGCCAGGCACGCAACGCAGGCCGCAGGGGAGGAGGCACCGAGGCGTTTCTGGGGCATCGTGCTCGGGCCACGGCGGCGGGCCTCTCGCGGGCTTCGGAGAGGGGGGAGTGGGGATGGCCTGGAGGGCTCACTCCTCTCGATCTGGACGCCCTCACCAATCATGATGGATCCTGTTTTTTTGGGGGGGATTCTGGCAAGTTTACTTGCACGGCGTTCGCCCCCCCCTCCCCCCCCCCTCGCCCCTCTTCAAGCGAACACTAGCGTGCAGGTGCCTTTCGACTTGCGTGATTTCCGCGGCCCCCCGAACGTGCAAGTCGTTTGCGGCTTGCTTCAGGCTCAGCCCCCCCCCCGTCCATGCAAGTAAATTTGCCAGAGTCTAAAAAAACAGGCTCTTATGGATCCTGCAGCCCTCTCTGACTGGCTGTCCTGGCGAATCCAGAGCAGAGGTCTTCGTCGCCAGCCCCAAGCGTGCATTCCAAGAGCCCTCTTGTGATTTCGATGCTGCTTCTACCGCAGGCAGCACATGGCTCAATCGGAGGACTGCGAGCAAAAGGCTGTCCTCGCGAATGATTGACAGAGTGATTTGTTGATGACATTTTTTCGCGAACGAGGCCGTGACTTAGAGAGGGTTGGACCCCTCAAGGTGGAGTAAGAACCGCTAGGGGGAGGTCATGACAGGGACCATGATGTGTTCCAGGCTTCGGGCCCCCCGTCTCTTCTCTCAGCGCGCTCACCCGGATGGGCCCTGGACATGCTAGGGCAGTTGTTTTGTTGGTTCCGTTCTGCAGTGTGTTGCCAGTCCCGGCGCGGTTTGACTTTTGGCTCCGTCGCAGCTATTTGTCTGCTTCGGGTTCCTGTTCCAGCCTCGGTGCAGTTCTTCAGTCTCCTGTAGCCCATGTTTTGCTTACCGGCTTCAGGCTCGACAGCGGCACGCAATAAAAAAAAACGGTTGTTTCCTGGGTCCACCAGGCCCCTCCCGTCCCCGGGTATACCTTGCATCTTCGGGGGGGCTTTCCTGTCCTTTACATGGCCGTCTTGCCTTGAACTCCGGCGTGGTTTCGACGTGGATCCGGCACGGATTCGACACTCGACTCGTTCGACACGGACTTGACATGGATGCGGCGCGGATCGCGGCGCGACGGGACAGACAAGGTCCCTTGATGATGCAACACAGCCTCCGCCCCCGCCCCGCGCACACGCTTCGGGCCACGATGCTCTGAAGCCCCCGCTGCGTGGCCCCATCCCCTGTGGGGCGCACCCGATTTGATCGTGGGCCCGGGCGGAGGCCTCAAGCGCCAGCGGCCCCCAACGGGTCGGCGGCACTCAATGCGTCCGCGGGTTAGTAACTCTCCCCTGAGATCTTGGCGTTGCAATGTTTTCACAGCGGGCGATTTCGCTCAATGTCGGGCTCCGTGACCCTCACATCATTATTGATCGGGCTCGAAAAATAATGCAGCAAGATGGGGTCCGGGGCTCTGGTCGTGATTTTCTACGATTAGTTCTTTTGCATCGTCGGATCTCCGGGTCAGATCTTGGGGCCGAGCCGCGCGCTTGCCTCGCCCCGACTTTCTGCGCGCGCGCGTCCGCGCCACCGGCCGAGGGGCAACGACGGGGGGCGGCTGGCCCGGGGGGGGGACCAATGGCTAGCCAGCGGGCAGCGGCGCAGGTCTGCAGCGCCTTTGTGGACCCTCGTGGACCTCCTGGAGGCTCTTCGCCGCCGCGGCTGGGTCCGCTTCGAAGTGCGGGTCCGGGAGGGACCCCGGGAGGGGCCCCGGGATTGCTGTTCCTCGGGTGTGGCCCCCTGCGAGAGAGGCGCCGCTGCCTCAAGTGGCACTCCCCCATCCTCCTCCCCCTCCTCCTCCCTGCTGCTCCTCCTCCTCCTCCTCCTCCTCCTCCTCCTCCTCCTCCTCCTGCCTCCTGCTCCTCCCCCTCCTCCTCCTCCTCCTCCCTCCTCCTCCTCCTCCTCCTCCGGCTTCTCCTCCTCCTCCTCCTCCTCCTCCTCCTCCTCTCCTGCTCCTTCTCCTGCTCCTTCTCCTCCTCCTCCTCCTCCTCCTCCTCCTCCGCCTCCTCCTCCTCCTCCTCAGAGGGAAGCGTCGACCCCCAATCGCCAACTCATCGCCGATTTGGGCATGGGACGCCCCGCCCCTCCCCCCCCCAATGGAGCGCTCGGTTTCGCCATCCGGGGGCGCCGGCGATGTGTCGCCGACTCCCAGGTCTCGGGGGTTGCTGGGGGGGGGGCGCCTGGGCCAAGGTGCCCCCGGCTTTTCGCTCCACGCTGGGGCCCCTGGGGCCATCTGGGCCTCGTGGGGGGTGCATCATGAGTGCTCCTGCCTCCTCGGAAATCCTGGGGGGGCACCTTGGGCCAGGGGCACTTCGATAGCAACGTCCGAGGGCCAGTGCCTCGCCCTTCCGCCCGCCTCCCGTGCCGTTGCTCCCCTCCCCCCGGCTGCCGAGCGAGGGAGCACGCGTGCTCCCGCCGTGCCGTCTCGCCCCCCCGGATCTGGGGAGGGTGGGGGAGGCGTAGTGGGCCCCGGAAACGGCAGGGCCGTTTTTTACACCGTTTCCGATCGAAGAAGTGTCCCTTGACAATGGAGACGGCGAAAACACGGCGACCGGAAACGGCAACAGAAACTGCTCCAGGAGTGGAACCGGAGCCGGAACCGGTCAAAGAACGGCGACGGAACCAGTAAAGAATGGCGTCGGAACCTGCAGGAAACGGCCCGCACTGCGCTGGACCACCCCAGGAGCACAATCAGGAAGGGAAAGAACACACAGACACAATGAATCGTCGACTCCCAGAAAAAGATGGGAAAACATGAGCAGTTCGGGGGGAAGACGAACAACCCAGAACATGTGGGAACAAATGTTGGGAATCCTGGGATGTGTGCCCATCTGTTTGTGTGTCCCGGGGCCCCCTTCACACAAGGAAGTGGCGGCCGCGTCGCAGCGCGCAGCCCCCCCCCCGGCGGGGACGGCGAGGCCCCGTCGGCGCCTGCGCTGGCCCGCCGCTGCACAGAACCCCCGAGGAGGCGAGGCAGGTTAGAATGGCGGGCGCGCCCCGCGGAGGCGGCCGGGCAGCAGACAGCATCGAGGACAAGGGCACCCCTACAGCCCGAATGATGCGATGAAGGCGTGGCCTCACTGAGTAGGGAAACAAAAAGTGACATAAACATAAAAAAAATCGGAGGCCCGCGCAGATTTCTCGGATCGGCGCTGGGGCCCCCCGGCGGCGCCTCCGGCGCCGCCCCTGGCGCGCTCCGCGCGCCAGGCAGGGGGGGCCAGCTCGGATCTGAGAAATCCGCGCGGACCTCAGAGTTTTTATGTTTATTATGCTACTTTTTGTGCCCCTACTGAGGTACCCTTTTTCGCATGAGGGCTGGTAAAACGTGGGCTGCTGTTTGGTGCGGCGCGCTTGCAGACGAGACCCCCTTCTCTGATGTTCCTGGCCCTCCTAGGTGAGGTCGCCTCCCGAGGGTCAGGGGTCCTTGTATGCCTAATCAAGGCAGGAGCAGTGCCAGCAGGAGGACTGTGAGCTAGGGGAGATGGGAAGGTGTGGAGACCACGTTGCTCCTTTCAAAACAAAGGCCGAAGAAAGGAGCGGCCACGCAAACCTATCAAATATTCACCCCGCGAGTAGAAGTTCCTCGCCTCCTGGGCGTCTTGATGGTCGCCAGCTGCGGTCGACGTCTGTTCTTTTTGACACGTATGGGAAATGTCCGGAGGGAAATAAAAACACGCAGACAAGCAATCGTCGATTCCCAGGAAAACGTGGGGAACTATGGGCAGAGAGGGGGAAGACGAACACCCTGAAACTATGTGAAAACATTGGGAATCCTTGGATTTGTGTCTGTTCAATTGGGTGTCCCTGTGCCCCTTTGGAAGTGTCCCTGATGGGGGTCGGGCACCGATGGAAAAAAACGAGTATCCTAGCTTCGCGTGAACCCCAGCAATCTGCGTTCGCGCGGTGACGGTGGAGCTTACAGTGCCGTTCTTAACACATGCTCCGCGTGCGGATCATGTATTAAAAAATGCAAGGGTTTAGTATTAAAAACAACGAGGAGCTCATGCATAAATTCATTCGTACATGAATAATATATGACAAATTCTATATGTTTAACAATCCGATGTATTAAACACTGCCCTGTGTGGGCGCTCGCGCGGGGTGAATGAAGGGGGGGGGGGGCGCGCCCAAGCGCTGGCAGGTGGCCGGGAGAGGAGGGAGGGCCCTCCGGGAGGGATGGTAAACAGCGGCCGCGAGCGTCGGAGGGGGGCAGAGCGAAGGGGCGAGCCTTCTCAGGAGGCTCGGACAACCCCTCGGCCTTCTGAGAAGTGTTCTGTGTCAGCCTTCCCCGAAGGCGCGGAACAAAAACTTGTCAGAGGGCGCGAGGGCTTCGGAGACGTCCCGCCGCATTCTGAGAAGGCCTTCTCCTTCTCCCTTCCCCCCCCCACGCTCGCCGCCGAAGAAACCATTCACGATGAAAACATAACCCCAAGGTCAGCTCCGGAGTCCAAGGCTGAAGTCGACGCGTCCCCTTACAGGAGGAATATTTAAAATAAGTAAAAAATAGACTGGGGTCGTTTTTGTGAGTTTTTTGCGCAAATTTTGGGCATGTCTGGAGTATGTTTTACTTTTCCTCCACAATCCGCCTGTAGGGGGACATTCCCGACCTAATCCAAGCAGCGGCGTCTCTCTTCTTCAGCGTCACGGCCCCGGGCCCGCCCGCCCCACACCCCCTGGTGATATAACTTTCGGCGCTAGCGACACCGGGGATTGTCTCAAGCATTGCGTCGGGCCTGTCCCTCTACAGGAGGAATATTCAAAAATAGTCAAAGAAAATAATATGGAGACGATTTTTTGAGATTTGTTGACGATTTTGGGGGTATTTTTGCTACTAGTCTTTATTTGTCGTCCAAAGTCCCCTTGTAGGAGGACACGCCCGACCTGACTCTAGCAGTCAATAGTTCGTCGGATCACTGTCAGCCCCCGCGGGCGCAAATGGATACGCCACGGGGGCCCCGGATGACGTCCGATCCGCCGGATGGATGGCGCAGAAGCTCAGAGCCCCGAATCATCAGGGGTAACTCGGGTCAGGGTCAGGGCTAACTCGGGTTCGCTTTTCGGGATTCCGAACCCGAGTTACCCCGGGCCCGAGTTACCCCGGATAACTCGGGCGTCCAGGGCCCCAAATCATCCAGGGCCCCAAATCATCATCATCATCAGGGCGTCCAGGACCCCGGATAACTCGGGTCAGGGCTAACTCGGGTTCGCTCTTCGGGAATCCAACTCCGCGTTACCCAGGACCCGAGTTACCCCGGATATCTCGGACGCCCAAGAAGCGAGCGGGATGGGGGGGCGACGAGGTCTTCTGCGTGCTGCCGGCGCCGGCCCCGCCGCTCGGCGCGTCCCTCGAGACATGGGCGCCTTCAGCGCCAGGAGGCGCCAGGAAAATCCGCTACCTGAGCTTCGGGTGTTGCTAGAAGTACCCCTGGCCCAAGGTGCCCCCAGCTTTTCGCTCCATTTTGGAGCCTCTGGGGCCCTCTGGAACTCGTGTGGGGTGCTCTGGAGGCCGCTTGGGGTACCCCTAGAATCCTGGGGGCACGGGCACTTCTAGCAACACCCGAGAGCTGATTCGCCAATCAGAGTCCCCGTTGCTGTACCCCCCCACCGCCAATTCCGATTGCATCGGCTCGATCCCACGCGGGCGCGCCGCCCGATTCCGACTCGAGTCCGAACGGATCCGGCGCAGTCAGAGGTTGGCCCGATCCAGCTTCGAACGCGAGCCGCTCAGATTTCGGTGCGACGCGCCTGGATATTCAAGGGTGCTTCCCTTGCTATCCCCGTGCGCGCTGTCGGAGGGGGGGGAAGCGATACCAACACCACCAGGGGGCCCACCTCCAGCGGGAGACTGGGGATGTCTCCCCGAGCGGGAGACCGGGGATGCCTCGAGCGATCGCTCGAGGTCTCCCTGGTGGTGTGGTCCCCCCCTCTCCTCCAGGAGATGGGGGGACCACACCACCAGGGAGACCCCCCTTGCCTCTGCGCTTCTCCTCGCCCTGTTGGTGCTGGTGTCGCCTTTCATTGTTCCTACAGTGCCGTTTCTAATACATGCTCCGCGTGCGGATCATGTATTCAAATGCAGGGATTTAGTATTTGAAGCAAAGATGAGTTCATGCATACATTGCTGCATCAACCGATGATGTATTAAAACCATATTCCCTTTTCTATGTTTTTACAATCCCGGGGGGTGGGACCCCCCCCCCCCCCGGGAAATCGGACCCCCGGAATCTGGCGCTTTTGGGGCCCCTTGGACGCCTGGCAAGGGGGTCCCCCGAGCCTTCCGGGCCTCCTGGACGCCCCTGGCCGGCCTTCTGCATCTCTGGACGTCCCTAATGTCCTTGCGAAGCCTCTGCAGTGGGCTAGCGGGAAGCTCACAAAACGGCCCCAGAGCCTACAAGACGCTCCAAAAGGCCTTCCAAGACGCTTCCGAAGAGGCCCCAAGAGGCCACAATTGTTGATTCCCCATGGTGTTTTTCGAAGTTTTTGGCTTTCTCGCCTTTTCGGCTTCCCGACGTTCCAAGACGGCCCAAGAGGCTCCCAAGACCGCCGCAACACGGTCCAAGAGGCCCCCTACACAGCCCCAACACGGCCCAAGCGGGCACCGAGACGACCCAAGAAGCGCCCAAGAGGGCAACAAGGCCCCGATAAAGCCTCAAAAAAGGCCCCAGCGGGCGACCAAACATCCCAAGATCTAGCTTTCCGGTCCACGAGAGCCCCAAGAAGGCTTAAGAAAACCCCAAGAGGCGCCCCAACACACCCCCACGAGGCTCCGAGAGGCTCCAATCGGCCCCCAGGAGCCCCAAAAAGACCCCATGAGGCTTCAAATCGACTCCCAAGAGGCTTCACACCAGTTTCCCAGAAAAGCCCGAGAGGCGTACCACGCGATCCCCACAGGCCCCCAAAAGGCTCCCAAGAGATACGCCACACGGCCATGGAAGTCGTCCAAAAAAGCCAATGGAACTTCCAAAGGGCCGAAAGCTTCAGAAGGCCCCTCAAATCCCACAGTTCCGAGGACGGCCCAACAGGGCCCCAAAACAATCCAAAAGAGCTCCAAGAGGGCCCAGAATCTCCGAATCCCAGTTTCGCGACATTCCCGTGAGGCACGTGCGTCGCGAAACCTGCATTATGTTCACACTTATAAATACTATGTGGTGTTTGACCTGTCTCGCAAGATCTGCGAAAGGATTGCATTCGATTGGCATCTTTGGGAGGATGTTTTTTTATCGAAACGGCCGGAAAACTCAATGACGGACGCACTCATTCCCTCTGAGCTCTACTTATTCGTGGAGGTGCGTGTGATGATGCACATATGTGCACCTTTCCCCCAACATAACAGACAACTTCAATTTCCGTAGCCATTTTGGCTCAAACACCATTGCGCCTTCAAGGGTGAAGTCGCGGTGTCCATGAGGGACTCTTTTTGGGTTTCGTTCTGGCTCGTTCGCTGCGTTCAGCAGATGGTTCGCGACAGCCTGCTCAAGAAAACGCTGCGCACCGCAGATCTGCCAAGCAGCTGGCGCGCCCTGCCTCCCAGCGCGGAGCTGGTGCCAGCCATGGACGAGCACATGGAAACTCTCACTGCCGCGGAGCTCAAGGACCCGTGTGGGCATTACATTCAACCACCCTGGTGTCGTTCAACTGGGCCACCCCCCTCCACCCCACAATTATCGACATGCACGTTCGGTTCCCTTCGGGGGGCGCGGCCTGTGCAACACCCAGGGCGACAATGACGCCAGGGTGGTTCGCAATGTGAGTCCACGCCCACATATGTGAGGCCCTCCTTCCGGCGTTGTCGACGTGGCGCGACACGTACGTGCCCACCAGCGAGTGGAACGCGTACAACCACACGGGGTCAACCAGCACGGCTCCTTTGTACGTTCGGAGCATCGAGGGCGAGAAAGTATGTTTGGAGTGCGCTGACAAAACGGGCCGGGCTCAGACACACATACTGAATCAGTGCCCGCAGCACGCTCGAGATAGCACGGCGCTGTTGCTCGAGTTCCTGCACTCCCCTTGCGCATTGCGCATAATTGCCGATCCTGTGAACACCATCGCCAGAGCCAAGGGAGTGGTGGCAAAGCTCAACGTGGTCCTCCAGCAACACCCCGGGCACCCAGCCGACCTGATTGGCGACAGTTTCAATCCTTGGAAGCTACAGAAGAATAGACTCGCCAAGCTCCACGCAGCGAAAGCCGCGCGAGAGCTCAGAAAAATTGCCGCCAACAGCAGATGCTTCCTGAGCGCGCTCACGGAGCTCGGCCACAAAGGCGGCATTGTACCGGCCCTGTTCGCGGCGTCCGCCGAAGAGATGGAAGGGGTGCTCGCGGCGTCTCCTGGGTGGAGAAGCTTCAGAGTGAAGAATGCGTTGCGCATTCGACAGCCCTCGTCGCGGTGCCCGGATCACGGGCGGCACAAGAAAACTCCCGCGGTCGTGCTCGCAGGCAGCGGGCCGCGCCGCGTGGTGTCCCAGCGATTGGGCACCACGGTGTGGGCAACCGGGAAACGCGGACGACCAGTTCGCAAGGTTGCCGTGCTTCACGCCCAGAACGCCGCCGCCATCCAGCTGTGGACCGTCCTGATCCGGCAAGCTGGAGCCACGCGCGTGAAGGCTTTCCAGGAGCACAAAGCCGCGACTCTTGCTAAGTTCAACCACGACGTGGTGCGGCGGGTGTACTCATTCTGTGAGCAGGCCACCCTCACGGATTACGGCGCGCAGTTCGCCTTTTGCGAAGAGTCGCAATTGCTGGCTCGGCTCGGAGGCGCTGCAGCAGAAGAGGACGCAGAGGCCGGGAGTGACTGGGAGAACGTGGCAGCCGGCGACGAGCACGAGGTCGACGAGGCCGCTGCTGCTGGCGGCGCCTGACGGCCGACCACTTAATTCGGAACGCAAGCGCGCTGGGGCGGAAACAGACTTCCTCCCCCTGACACCTCCTGCTGCTGGCCTCAGACTCGATTCCCGGTAACGTAAGACAGCACACATGTGTGCGTCGCAACAATATTCGGGAAATCCGTTGTGAACTTGGGATTCGGTGCACTTCCCGAGAAGATCGCACGTCGACGTTTGAGGCTCGAGGTTCGCAGGGCAAGAGTCGAGAGAGGAAGGCGCAGATCACGGTTCGCAGCTCGACACTTCAGGTTTTCCTGTGATTTCCTATTCTTTCGGGGCCTCCGCTCTCTCGCCGCCACGTTGCAGGGGCCGCTTCAAAATTCAGTTCCAAACGCAATCCTAAATGAGCTTGCCGCACTTCAAGGCCAACATGGATGAGGCGAACAGGCATTTATGCTCGATTCGAAGGACCAAGGTGCATGGCGCGAAGCGCCAATGCAGTCTTGTATGTATATATATATATATATATATATCAAGAAAAATATGCATAAATCAATGATGTCTTAGAATCATATATATATATATATATATATATATATTGAAAACCCTATGTATTAAACAATTGCCCTGTAGCCTCGTCCGACCCGACGGGCCGCCAGGCGCACGCCGTTTTGGGCGCCTCCCCTCCCCTCCCCGAGCGGCGGCGCGCCCGGCGCCGGGCCCTGCGCGCGCGGGCGCGCGCGGCGCTGGAGGGAGGAGGGAGGAGGGAGGAGGGAGGAGGGAGGATGGGGGAGGAGGAGGGGGGGGGGGGGGGGGGAGGACGGTGGGGGAGGGGAGGAGGGAGGGAGGGAGGGAGGGGAGGGGAGGAGGGAGGAGGGGGGAGGGGGGAGGGGGGGAGGGGGGGCGGCTCTCGAAATCGACTGCGGGGGTCGACCTCGCGGGCTGGCGCGCTCGCGCTGCGCGGCGGCGCCCCCAGGGGGGGGGCCTCGACTTCGCGCAGGAGTGACCCTTCTCGGCCACGCGCAGAGGGGGGTAGGAGGAGGGGGGGAGGGCTTCTTAGCAGCATTCCTGTTCCTCAGAAGGCGCGGGCCTTATCTATAGATGCAAGGCCGGCGTCTTCCAAGAAGCAGCCTGCTTCTAAGAAGCCCTCCCCCCTCCCCCCACCCCCTTGTTCGCGCCGCCAACCTTCGCCGGACCCAGGCCCCCTCGAGGTATGAAAAAATCATCACGGGAGGTGTTTCATTCTTTTTGGCCTTCGGGGGCCCTTGCCGGCCCTCGGGACCGTCAAAAAACGGCTCAGGACGAAAAACCGGCCCCGCAGGGAAAGGGTCCAGACCGCTGGGGTCGACGTCACGAAGAGTTCATGACGTCGGGGGTCTGGGGAGTGACCTTTGGTGCGGGACCACTGGGGTCCCCGATCGCCGAACGCGAGACGGCAGTGGCGTCTTGCGCGCTCGTGTTTGACCCCCCCGCGGCCCCCAAAAAAGCCGCGCACCAGAGGTCACTCTTACCCAGGGTCACTCTCACGCGTAGCCGAGGGGAGGGCAGAGGGGGTTCGGAAGGCCACTGGTCTTCGCCGAAGCCCCGCCGCTCTCTGAGGAGGCCTGCCCCCTCGGCCCTGCCCCCCCAGGGCACGCCGCCGAGTCAGCGCCCGGCGTCTCAGCACGGGCTGGGTCGAGCGATCCCGTGCTGTGGGTCTGCAGTGCCAATTCATGCGCTTGGGGTGTCGTGACCTGTGCCGCGCGGCGCCGCGCGTGTTTCTAAGCACGTCTGCTCAAAGTGCCCTGTACAGATCAAGCAGTGGCGAAGCGTCCCGGCTCGCCTATAGCCCTACCAAACAATGTTCCAAGAACCGTTTTGTGAGTTCCACGAAATGTTCTTAGAACGTGTGTGGCGGAGTCTGTCTTGTTTTACCACATCGGGCCGATGTTCTAAGAACCTTGTTCTTGTTCTAAGAACGTTCTTGGGTGCTAAGAACATATCGTGGTAGGACGATAGGAATGCCGGGACGGTCGGTCCCTGCTCAAGCTTAGTATCGCGCAGTCTGCGCGCTCCAGTCGCATGACGACACGTCACGTTCGCCTGCTACGGGGCAGCAGCACTGCACCACGCACTTGTTGTTCGGCGGCGGTGGGGCGACCGCCCCGGGGTCCACGCGGCAACTGGACCACGGAGGCGCTCACTGCGCACTGGAGCTATGATGCTCCAGTCTACCCTAGCTTTGATCGCCAGGAAGAGTTTCGAGCGCCCAGAAGAGTACCGAAACTCAAGGGTATTCACGTGTCGGGCCCTGGGAGACACTCGCCCGACACTGCTTCGACACTGCTTCGGCGCTCTTCTGACACTTTCCCGGGCGCTCGAAGTTATTTCTGGGATGTGGTCTCCTTAAGCAGGATGGGAACACAACATAACACTGGAGGACGCGCAGGCGAAGGCAGGCAGGCGGCGGCGAAGGCGAGCATGAACGAGCAGGGCACGCCCAGGAGTCCTGGGCACGCCCAGGAGCCCGGGGAGCTATACGAGTCCGACTCGTATAGCTCCCCGGGCTGCCGCGCCGCCGCCCCGGTCTCCTGCGGGCGTCGGGCAATTTAAAGGCCTGCGCACCGGGCCTGTCCAGGGCCTGCGCACCGGTACCGCGCCTGGGCGGGGAGCGCCGCAGGAGCAGTGTGCCTCCGGCGCGGCAGCGACCTGCGCCGAGCTCTGCGCCACGCACGCACCTCCTCCCTCCCTCCTCCTCCTCCTCCTCCTCCTCCTCTTCTCTCCTCCTGTCCTCCTCCTCCTCCTCCCCTCCCTCCCCCCTCCTCCTCCTCCTCCTCCTCCTCCTCCGCCTCCTCTCCCTCCTCCTCCTCCTCCCTCCTCCTCCTCCTCCTCCTCCCTCCTCCTCCCCTCCTCCTCCTCCTCCTCCTCCTCCTCCTCCTCCTCCTCCTCCTCCTCCTCCTCCTCCTCCTCCTCCTCCTCCTCCTCCTCCTCCTCCTCCTCCTCCTCCTCCTCCTCCTCCCTCTCCTCCTCCCTCCTCCTCTTCCTCCTCCTCCTCTTCCTCCTCCTCCTCCTCCTGCCGAGTGCAGCCGCACGCTGGGCACGGCGCCGCACCTCCTGCTGGGCGGCGCCGCCCGACGCGGTGCCTGGCGGCGGAGCCTGCAGGCAGTGCCACGCCCAGGGGCGGCACGGTGGAGAAGCGGTCCTGGGCGGGGCATAACGGCGCACAGCAGCAGAGCCTGCTCGTTTTTTGAACAGGACGCGCTGTCGCGCCGCCGCGGGTGTGGTCCATTTGAGACACACGGCCGCCTGCCCAGCAGCGGCCGCTGTCGGCATGGGACAACATTATCAGGAGGGGAAAAATCACACAGACACAGTGAATCGTCGACTCCCAGGAAAATATTGAAAAATCTGGGAATTGGGGGGGAAGGCAAAAACCCAGAAAATATGGGAAAATATGGGGAATCCTGTTATTAGTGTGTATTTATTTGTCTGTCCCAGGGCCGCTTTAATTTGTTGCTGGGCATCGTAGCCATTTCTTCCGTGCCCACTTCGGGTAGCCAAGAAGGTCCCCCCCCCAGGATTTCCGAGGAGGCCTCGCGGCCTCCCTGGATAGCAGCCCTCGCGAAGCCCAGAGGGCCCCAGGAGGAGAAGGAGGAGGAGGAGGAGGAAGAGGAGGAGCGAACACTTGGGGGCACCTTGGCCCAGGGCACCTTGCAGCAGCCCCCGAGGCGGCACCAACCGTGGCCCCAGAGGTTCCCAGGCGGCGTCCGCCAGGTCCGCAGCCTTGGGGCTGCCGGCGAGGCGGCGGCAGCCGCGCAGGGTGCGACGGGGGCGAGGCCAGCCATGTCAGTCATTGTGCTGGGGCAGCAGCGCCGGCGGGAACAGCGGCCGCGATGGCAGGAAGGGGCCGCCTTGAAGCATGCGGGCCGTGAGGGAGGCCGGTCCTGCAGAGTTCTGCCCCTTCTCGGGGCCGTCAGAAGGAGCGGCCCTGGAGGAGAGGCGGGTCCCGTGTCCCTCGGGGTCCCAATCCACTCTCCCTCTGGGACTTCGCCCCCTGCTCCTGTCCATGGCGTACCTTGTCCTGTGCAAGATCTTCGGCACCGCCTGTACTCTGCACCCCCCGGCCGCCTGAGGCCCCGCCCGCCCGCGCCCTGTCTCCCCAATTAGGGCTTCGCGCGCCCCGCCTAGCTATTGACCGGAAGGGGCCCGCTCCCGACCCGCCGACCAAAAAGAGTCCCTCGGGGTCCGTCCGGTCCATGCCAGACGGAGGGCCACCGACGAACTGCGGCAAAGTGGTGGAGGGGCGGCCGCACGGGGGCCCAGGAGACCCGCAGGTCCGGAAGGAGGGCAAGGAAGTCCGGATGGGAGGCGCCATGCGACATGCAGTTGCATGCACGACATTGGCAGGACGAATCACGCACGCACCCGTGATATCGCCAATCCGACCCCTCCGCGTGGAGTGCTCTTGCAACTGCGGGTTACTTGTACAGCGCGCCACCCTCGCAGAGGAGGCCACTCTTGTACACTGCCAGTCGAAAAAAAAAGGAGGCCACCCTCGCACCGACGCGCTACGCCCTGCCTCGCAGCCTTGCGGGGGGATCGTGGGTGATGGAAACGGCCAGCCGCTTCTCGAGAAGTGGAGTCCGCAGTCATTGCGAATGGCGGCTGTCGATTGGGATCCGCGCAATCGACGCTCAGACCAACACCTCCGAAATATGGATTCTCGTTGAATGCGATGCCTCTATCAGTCCCACGCCCTTCCCAAGGGCCAGCTTTCCATCCCGAGTCGGTGGAGAAAACAGTCCTCGGGCCTGAATCGATCGTCCCTTCCTACTCCTTCTTATCCTCTTCGTTCTCATCCTTCCCTCCCTCCCCCATTTCCCCCCTCATTCCCCAGGTCCCCCTCCTTACGGTATGAATTCTACTCTCCTCTCTCCCCTGATGACGTCCGGCAGATATCCGGCCCCCTCCGCGTACTTTTTCTGTTACACAGGATTCCCGGGAATTGGGTTTTCGTTTTGTTGTTCAAACTGTTGTTCCCGTTGAAGCGATGGCCTCGTTTTCGGGCTTCCGCTCGTTCCGAATCGTGCTCCCGCTGCAGCGTTGGCCTCATTTCCGCGCTTCCGCTCGTTCCGAATCGTGCTCCCGCCGAAGTGCTGACCTCATTTCCGCGCTTCCGCTCGTCCCGAATCGTGCTCCCGCTGCAGCGATCGTGTCATTAATTCCAGTGCCATATAACGGCATGGATTTCGGCTCTTCCCAATAAGCTCCAAAATCTAGAAAATGGCCTCCCGAACAAAAACATCGGAAGCGATTCCACATCCAGTGTCGATTCGTTGGCTTTTGCAGAAGCCACCCCTCATTATGGGGCGTCGCCACGCCATGCTATGTCATGCTAGGCGTTGGTCTTCAACACCGTGCTATGCCATGTAATGCCGCGCCATGCTGCGACATCCGATTGTGCGAGAGGAGATCTACGCCATGGTAAGGGATGGGAGGGAGGGATAGGACGTCAGATATGACGCGAGCGCACCTAGCTTGCCCCTCCCCATCTCCCCCTCCGCCCCCTCTCAGGAAGGGGAGGGGGCCCGATCGGCCTGCACGGGTCGGAATCCGGCCGAGGCTTGGGGACCTGGTTTGGCATGAAGCGGGTCCTGGACACCGGGGGTCCTTTTCCCAGACCAGTTCTTCATCCTGAGCAATCTCTTGACTGTCAGAATGACAGTTATCGGGTTGGGAGGATGGGGCTGTGAGGGATGATCATCATCCGCACTATCGCGTACGTCGAGCGTGTCTATTTCGCGGTCGTGCTCCGTATCTTCCCAACCCCATTTGCACAGCCCTGCAATTGTCTTTCTGGGATGGTCCCGGCGGGAGCGCGAAAACGGCGAACAATGTCAGGGCCCGCTTCAATCTCAGGACGGAAAAAACACACAGACACAATATGATCGCCGATTCTCAGGAAAATATGCAAAAATATGGAAAGTGGGGGGGAAGACAAAAAACACAAAAATATGTGAAAATATGGGGTGTATTTATTTGTGTGTCCCAGAGCCCCTTCACAATCGTCTAGACGTAAGAGTGACCTTTCGCCGGAGTGACCTGTGGTGCGGGCACAGATGGGTCCCCAGATGGTTGAAAACGAAGCAGGAGCAGCGGCTTGCGCGCCCAGGTTTGGTCCCCCCGCGGCCCCCAAAAAGCCGCGCACCAAAGGTCACCCTTACCCAGGGTCACTCCTGCGTGTAGCCGATTCAAGGCAAAATGTTGGGACTTGTGTTCTTCAGGGCCCGCCTGCTTTCCATAGCGTCCGGTCGACGGGCTCGGGCGCCCACCCGTGGCGCCCGGAATGCCCCCAGCCGCCATCTCGATCGGGATCTGAGGAGGAGGAGGAGGAGGGAGGAGGAGGGAGGAGGAGGAGGAGGAGGAGGAGGAGGAGGAGGAGGCGGGGCAGTCTCGGGAGCCAGGGCTGGGCTGTGCCATGGGGCCCAGATGATTTCAGCCTTTCAGGGGGCTTGGCAAGCAAACGGCGAACATGGCTCCATCAGCTGGCGCACGTTCCCTCTCCGATCATCGTCTCCACGCAGTTATTGCGAAGGTGGTTTTAGTCAGTGGTGGCCTTTGCCGTACATGACCCTGGACCTTGAGGGGGGGGAACTTTTGGATAGCGTGTCGGCCCGCTGGTTCTGGCCCATCACGCTTCGGCGCGATACGCTATCCACTTCCCTAATCCCGAGTTGCAATGTCCCGAGCCGTTCCCAGCCTTCCGCCCCGCGTAGCGGAGCGACACGCCATCCACTCGCAAAGCATGGCGTGTCGCCGGGGCCGCGACCGCGACACGCGAATTAGAAGTTCCCGACTGTGCATCGCAAGTACTGTTGCCTTAGTTTACATTGCATCTTGAACGTGTCTTACATCGCAGAGTCTGCTGTTCTTCGGTAGCAAATCACGGGAGCCCTGTGTACCCTTCTAATCTCATCTGTAGCGTTGATTAGCGTCTAGGGGTCGATGAAATAGCGCCGATATGTTGTCGGCTAGCGTCGACTAGCATCGATGTAGCGTCGATTAGTGTCGATTCGCAGGAGCCGGCAAGATGGTATGGGAGGCTCGCATGAGTTGCCACCGAATTGTTCTTAAACGTCGAGCCCGTTGTGGTTTGTTCGCACCCTGTTCTCATCTCACATCTCGCAGCTCATTGACCTGCTGGCGGTGTGTCGCGTGTGTTGCATCGTTGCGTTTCGTGTGCAGTGTGGGAGCTGGCCCGTGCGAGCGCCAAGTCCTCCCTTACACCTCGGCGTTGTCTATTGGTGGCAAGCTCTCCCTTCGCGGCTTGTGTCTTCCCCTCTTCTCGTTTCTGTATTTTCCCTTCTCTCTACTCCTCGCCCTCCTCTCTCCTCTCTCCCTCTCCTTCCCCTCCTCTCCCCTCTCTCCTCCTCCCCCTCGTCATGCTTTCATCCTCCCCCTCCTCATACTCCTCTCCTCTCTCATCCTCTCCTCCTCCTCTCTCCTCCTCCCCTCCTCCTCCTCTTCCTCTTCCTCCCTCCTCCCTCCTCCTCCCCCTCATACAGCTCCGACGCTCTCAGCGCAGCTGTGCCAGCACGTGCGGCCGCTGGAGAGAGTGCGCCAGGTCCATGCTGTCGATGCTCGAGCTGACCCTGGCGAACTGGCCGCCGATCGCCCGGATGCTCACAGAGAACGTCTCTGAGGACTCCGGGCGCCGCAGAGAGAAATTTGCAAGCTGGCTTCCAGCCCTCGTTGCGATTTTGCATTGGCAAGCGTCGACGACAAAGCCGACGACGCTGACACGGACGACGAAGATGAAGTTTCCCCCGTCAGCGAGGGAGTTTTACATTTTATGTCCCTGTACCTTCAATGTCCCACCTGTCCACCAGCCTTGATGCCACACCCGTGGTCAGCGTCATTATTTTATTTGTTTCCCATACTTTACTTCCCCATGGCCTTGTTGCATCATCGCAGGAGGTGCCCACTAGTGTCCCGCCCGTCGTCGTCGGCGTGTCGTCGTCTTCGTCTTTTTCTTTTGTTCCCCATATCCTAAGATGAGGTTGTTGTTATTACTTGGACGCCTCCTCCTCCTCCTTCTCCTTCCTCTTCTCGTCCCCTCCTCTTCTCGTTTCCTCATACGAGACTTACTCATGTCCAGACTTACCCACAAACAGACTTACTCATACTGAGACCTACTCATACTCAGACTTACTCATACCCAGACGCACACATACACAAACTTACCCATACACAGACTTACTCATATTCAGGCGGGTCTCAGGCGGGGCGCTGGTTTCAGCATCCCGAAGGGGAGCCGCCAGGGGTGTTTGCACGGGCCCGTTCGCTGCCAGTTTGATTGGATGTTTCTAGCGGTTTGCTCGTTTTCATGCCCAAAATCCTTGGCTTTCAGAGCAGATTTTGAGGATGTCTCAGGATGGACGCTGGTTTCAGCATTCCTAAGGGGAGCCGCCAGAGGTGTTTGGACGGGCCCGTTCGCGGCCAGTTTGTGGGGATGTCTCGGGCGGTTTGCTCGTTCTCATGCCCAACACCTTAGGCTTTCAGAGCAGATTGTGAAGATGTCTCAGGCGGGGCGCTGGTTTCAGCACCCCTAAAGGGAGCCGCCAGTGGTGTTTGCACGGGCAAGTTCGCGGCCAGTTTGTGGGGATGTCTCTGGCGGTTTGCCTGTTTTCATGCCACACATCCTTAGCTTTCAGAGCAGATTGTGAGGACGTCTCAGGCGGGGCGCTGGTTTCAGCACCCCTAAGAGAAGCAGCCAGAGGTGTTTGCACGGGCCCGTTCGCGGCCAGTTTGTGGGGATGTCTCTGGCGGTTTGCTCGTTTTCATACCCAACACCCTTGGCTTTCATAGCAGATGTTGAGGGTGTCTCTCAGGCGGGGCGCTGGTTTCAGCACCCCCAAGGGGAGCCACCAGGGGTGTTTGCACGGGCCCGTTCGCGGCCAGTGTATGGGAATGTCTCTCGCGGTTTGCTCGTTTTCATGCCCAACATCCTTAGCTTTCAGAGCAGATTGTGAGGATGTCTCAGGCGGGGCGCTGGTTTCAGCATCCTTAAGGGGAGCCGCCAGGGGTGTTTCTGGCGGTTTGCTCGTTTTCATGCCCAGCCTCCTTGGCTTGTCAGAGCAGATTGTGAGGATGTCTCAGGCGGGGCGCTGGTTTAAGCATTCCTGAGGGGAGCAGCCAGTGGTGTTTGCACGGGCCCGTTCGTGGCCATTTTGTAGGGACGTCTCAAGCGGTTTCCTCGTTTTCTTGCCCAACATCCTTCGCTTTCAGAACAGATTCTGAGGATGTCTCAGGCGGGGCGCTGGTTTCAGCACCCCTAAGGGGCGCCGCAGGGGTGTTTGCGCGGGCCCGTTCGCGTTCAGCTTGTGGGGATGTCTCAGGCGGTTTGCTTGCTGTCATGCCCAACGTCCTTGGCTTTCAGAGCAGATGTTGAGGATGTCTCCGGCGGGGCGCTGGTTTCAACACCCCTAAGGGGAGCAGCCAGAGGTGTTTGCACGGGCCCGTTCGCGGCCGGCTGTTTTGGTGGGCGGACTCGTTTGCGTTTAAAGCAATGTGTGAGGATGTTTCAGGCGGGGCGCTGGTTTCAGCACCCTTACATGGAGCCGCCAGGGGTGTTTTAGAGCCCGTTCGCGGCCAGTTTGTGGGGGATGTTTCAGGCGGTTTGGCTGTTTTGGTGGGCAGACTCGTTTGCGTTTAGAGCAGTTTGTGAGGATGTCTCAGGCGGGGCGCTGGTTTCAGCACCCCTAAGAGGAGCCACCAGGGGGTAGGACATGGGCCCGTTCGCGGCTAGAATATTGAGGAGGGGGAGTGAATGGGAGGCCCATATTCAATCATATTCAAAGCTCACTCTGGCTCATACTCACTCACTCGCCTTAGGATTCACTCGTCTTCGTCGGCCCCGTCGCCCACGTGGACGCGCTATTATAGTCAAGCGCTCATGAACAGACGCTCGCTATGGCATGACAAAAAAAAGCATGATATGCACATGTGGGGAGCTCCACGCATTGAGTAATTTTTCTTCCTGCGAGGTCCGGCGCTGAAAACATCGCGGCCAGATCCCTTGGACTATATCTTCAACCAGTGGCGAAGCGTCCTGGCTCGCCTATAGCCCTACCAAACAATGTTATAAGAACCTATTGTGGTTTCCACGAAATGTTCTCAGGACACTTCTGGCGGCGCCTGTCTTGTTTTCTCACGTCGGGTGTACGTTCCAAGAACATTGGTTTTGTCCTTGGAGCATTTTTGGGTTTCAAGAGCATCACATGGGAGGACTATAGGAATGCCGGGGCGGCCGGCGCCTGCTCAAAGAAGGGCGGGGGCGGGTCCTGCGAGGTCCGGCGCTGAAACCTCGCGGCCAGAGCCCGTGGACCTCATCTGTCTGCGGCATTCCCAAATATCCGATGCCGTGTTTTTTCAATACGGGGTCCCCGGAAGCCTCGGCCCATTCCCCAGGACCGGTTATCCAACTTAAATCGATTCTTGACGGTCCATGGGCCCAGCGAGGGCCGCTAGAGGCCGCAAGTCGAGAGAAACCTCCGTCTCCTTTTTTCAATACGTTGGAGGTCTTTGGGTCCTCCGAGCTGGATCGCGCCGTGCTGTCCCCTTTGGGTCCGGGGGCCGGGCGCCAGGAACCGCTGCGAAGAGAGGGCGCCGCGCCTCGCCCATGGCGCCAGGGCGCGAGGCTCGGCGCCATCGCCGCGGCGCGCCCGCGGCGCGGCGCGGCGCCGCGGGGCGCGCGCTCGCTCGGCGCCAGGGCCTGCGCCCGGGCGCGCCCCTTCCCCCGCGCTCCTCTTCAACTGCCAGCCTCGAACCGTTCGAGGGCCTGCGCCCGGGCGCCCCCCCCTCCCCGCGCTCCTCTTCAATCCCTAAGATTGGCACGCCAAAAGGCGATGACGATCTTAGGGGCTCGTCCTCAAAAAACAATGGAATCCCTAAGATTGGCATCGTGATGAGGAGGTGCCCAGCATAGGGATCGGGACATGTTCCAAGCTGGTAATTCCAGCAGTGGCGAAGCGTCCTGGCTCGCCTATAGCCCTAGCGAACAAGGTTCTGAGAACCTCTTTCGTGGTCTCCACGGGATGGATGTTCTCGGAGCACTTCTGGCGGCGCCTGTCTTGTTCGCACACCTCGGGCTTATTTTTTTATGTTATGAGAACATCGTCTTGGTTCCTAGAACATGCCATGCTTGGGCTCTCGAAAGAACAATACATGCCACAATCTCGAGCGGGACGGCCAGTCCCTGCTCAACGCCTCTCCCTCCCGCGCGCGCGCCTCCGCAGTGGTTCGCGCCCGTGTGCATGATGCACAAGCTGGTCATCGGCTTCGCCGTCGTCGGGCGGGCGGGGGGCGGTGTGCGCCCCGGTCCTCCTCCCCCCTGGTGGCCCTAAGTATGCCCTCCCCTGCCTCGTCCTCGTTCGCCCTCTCGCCGTCTCTCCCCCCGCCGCCGCCTCGATCCCTCCCCTCCTCCGTCCCTGCCGCGAGGCGGTGGCAGCGGCAGGCGTCCGCTCCTCCTTGTCCCTCCTCCCCCGCCCTCATCTTCCCCTCCGTAGTCCTCATGTTTCCTCCTCGTCCCCCTCCCCCTCCTCCCCTTCCTCGTCCTCCTTTTCCTTTTTCCTCCTCCTCCGCCTCCTCCTCCTCCTCTTCCTCCTCCTCCTCCTCCTCCTTCCCCTCCTCCTCCTCCTCCTCCTCCTCCTCCTCCTCTTCCCTCCCGCATCTCCAATCCCTCCTCCTCTCTCATCCCTACTCCCTCTCCCTCTATCCCCCCTATCCAACCCCATTCCTCGTCATATTCCTTTGTTTCCTCTGTCTCTCTCTTTCTCTCTCTCTCTCTCTCTCTCTCCTCGTCTTCATCCTCCACCTGCATCGATCCATTGTTATTCTCAGTAAGCCTCTGAGATAGCAAGTTCCTTCGTCGCACATTCGTCAGTTTGCTTGAGACTAGGATGGGAACCCATTCAGCACCCGATTCACCTAAGTGGCCTCGACCAGAGCTGGCAGGACATGTTCACGCCCCACCCAAGTGGACCCTGAGCTCTGGGAAGATTTTGACCTATCTACCCAGGTCTTCAACGAATAGCTTGCAAAGGAGTGGCTGCCAATCTGGTTTGAATTGGTTCGGAGTCGGACTCTTGGCATCGGTGGGCCCCGCGGTATCCCGCACGCACGCCGTCTCGAAAACCGATCGGCACCATACTTGTTTGCATGACGATTATTGGACGCCGTGCACCGACAAAGCTTCCACGCTACCTGATATGTTGCAACATATTATTGCGCTCCTCCCCATCGGCACGAACTTCCGATATGCTTATTGCGCCGCAGCAGAAGCGATGGTGACGCAAATCGCGAAATCCGTGCCGACACCATGGACATGCCCGTCTGTGGCAGTACGAAGCAGCGCACCAGCAAGGGCCACGCCTGTGCCCGGGGCAGGGACATGTAGGCACATGTGACGCACTGCTCGGGGCATTCAGCGGCACGTTCGTTTCGACTGCACAATTCCTGACAGTTTTTTTGGCTCAGCAGTTCCTTCCCCGCGGCAGCCTGCCCTGTTCTCAATGCTCTTGCCAAGATGCGGGTTTTGGGGCCTCCGGGTCCCCTAGGCGCCAAAGAACTTTCCACGTGGACGGACGGTTTTTCTTGACATCCACACCCACTGGCGAACGCGCACCTCTTTTCCAAGCTGCTCTCGCTCACGCACGGAACTGCTCCGTGACGGGGATCGAGAGAACTATGACTGCGGCTAAGAGCGAGCAGCAATCCAACTCGAGTTGGGATAACTAAGACCACTCGAGTGGCGCCGAAGCGGCCCCACGGCGGCCCCCAAGGGAGCCCTCAAGCGTCCAAAGTGCAGTTCAGCATACAGTTCCAGCGGATCCACCGCGGCCCAAAGAGGCCCCCAGACATCGCTCTCAGGCCCCCTAAGCGGCCCCACAGCGACGCCAAGGCAGCCCTCAAGCGTCCAAAGTGCAGTTCAGCATACAGTTCCAGCGGATCCGCAGCGGCCCAAAGAGGCCCCCAGACATCGCTCTCAGGCCCCCTAAGCGGCCCCACAGCGACGCCAAGACAGCCCTCAAGCGTCCAAAGTGCAGTTCAGCATACAGTTCCAGCGGATCCGCAGCGGCCCAAAGAGGCCCCCAGACATCGCTCTCAGGCCCCCAAGCGGCCCCGCAGCGACGCCAAGGCAGCCCTCAAGCGTCCAAAGTGCAGTTCAGCATACAGTTCCAGCGGATCCGCAGCGGCCCAAAGAGGCCCCCAGACATCGCTCTCAGGCCCCCTAAGCGGCCCCACAGCGACGCCAAGGCAGCCCTCAAGCGTCCAAAGTGCAGTTCAGCATACAGTTCCAGCGGATCCGCCGCGGCCCAAAGAGGCCCCCAGACATCGCTCTCAGGCCCCCTAAGCGGCCCCACAGCGACGCCAAGGCAGCCCTCATGCGTCCAAAGTGCAGTTCACCATACAGTTCGAGCGGATCCGCCGCGGCCCAAAGAGGCCCCCAGACATCGCCTTCCGGCCCCCCTAAGAGGCCCCCCAGACGGTCGGAGACGGGTCCAACAAAGCATCTTCGGTGCCCGGAGAGCCTCCCAAAGCGCTTCCAGGGAGCGCTCCAAGAGGGTCCCCAAGAGTGCTCCAGCACGCAGCAATTGGTGGGAATCTTCGGTGCCCGAAGAGCCTCCAAAGCGCTTCCAGAGAGCTCCAAGAGGGTCCCAAGAGTGCTCCAGCACGCAGCAATTGGTGGGAGCTTGATGCTTTCAGCAGCGCCGCTGTTTTTATATTCCGAAGCGTTTACGGCGGCCCCAAAGGCCTCTAAGAACGCTCCAAGATGGCCCCAAACAGCCCCAAAAAGGCCCAAGAGGCGCCTACGACGGCCCAAGAGACCGGAAGAGGGGCCCAAGAGGGGCCCAAGAGGGGCCCAAGACAGCCCAAGATGGCCCCAAGGCGGCCCAAGAGGCGCCCATGATGGTCCAAAACGGCCCCAAGACGGTCCAAGAGAAGCCCTGCACGGCCCAAGAGGGCCCCGAGAGGCCCCCACGAGGCCGAACGGAACGCCCCAGAGGCTCCCAAACGGCTCCCCAGAGGACGAGAGGCGAAAGGCCCCTCGCGGCCGCATAAATATAGGTTTTCACGCTCCGTTTGCCGTGGATGCTGGGCAAGGACGACGACGACGGACGACAACGACGACGGACGACGACGAAGACGACAACGACGACGCCTTGTCGCCCCGCGGTATCGGCGCTGAGTTGGAGAGGCGATGTGTTGCAACATGTGCAGCGGCATCTTGGCCCAGGGCCTCCCGTGTGGACATCTCAGGTCCGCTCCCCCGCTGCGACCTCCTGCTTGCCGCGACGCCGCTCCGACGCCTCTCTGGCGAAAGCCCGGGGGCGGCGCCGCGACTGCTCCGCCCCGCTCCCGAGCCTGAGCGCGATCCCTGCCAGAACCTTCCAGAGCTGCTCCTGCCTGGGCTCTGGAACTCCTTGCCGTCGCGCAGCTCGAGCACTTCTCTTCTGTGCGCTAACTTAGGCCGTTGCTTCGACGCTTCGTTCTGACGGCGCCCGGCGTCTTCCGGTGCGCTTGCGATCAAAACAAGCTCGAGCACGTCGGCCCGCCCGCATCAGCGCACCGGGCGCTCTCAGCGGGGGAGCAGCAGCAGCAGCACAGTTTCCAGAGGACCTGTGGCGGCAGCTGGCAGCCTCGCACAATCCAGCACGTGCCGCAAAGCCTCGGTCCGCCCAACTCCGTGGGTCTATTCCACGGGTCCACACTCGTGTATGTTATATACGAGTCAGCGGATGAATGAATGGATGCGTGGAGTAATGAATGTCTGTGTGCATGTATGCATGTCTGCACGTATGCACGTATGCATGTGTGTATGTATGTATGCATGCATGCATGTATGTTTGTATGCATGTATATATATATATACATATATGCGTGTATGTATGTATGTATGTATGTATGTGTGTGTATGTATGTATGTATTTATGTATGTATTGATGTATGTATGAATGTATGTATGTATGTATGTGTGTATGTGTGTATGTGTGTATGTATGTGTATGCATGTGTATGTATGTATGGATGGATGGATGGATGGATGTAATAAAGACATAGACGCGCCGGCCTTCGACCGAGAACTCCCATGCGATGTCTCGGCTGAAACGACCGCGTGGGTCAAGTTCTACAGTTCGCGGTCGGTCCAGCAGGATCGTTCAAACATCCCGCTTGCCTTTTAAGAGCGCACGGGCATCCGCGTCCACTCCGCCACCGTGGTCTGGCTGCAAGTCAGAGGCCGAAGTAGTTCTGCGGGAAGCGCTGGGGGATCGCGGGGGGCACGCCAGGAACACCAGACAATGTGAGGATGTGGGGTCGGGGCGCCTTCATGTCCACCCTGCAGGTTTAAGGACTGAGGACTACAAAAAAGCCCATGGCACTCCAATTAGCGCCTCGCGGCTCAGGCCCCCCGCCGAACACTTCCAGGCGATGCTCTTGTCGGAACGACCACGTCTACGAAGTTCAACAGACCGGCGCCAATTCAGAAGGATATTCTGAAAACTTCGCTTGCCTATACATATAACGGCGCACCGGGTCCGGGGGCCCGGGGCCGGGACCTCGACCACAAATGTGGGCTCCGGGGGGCCCGGAGGCTCGTCGGGGCTTGCCGGAGGCCTCCCCGGTCAGACAAGACGGCCCCAGGAGCGCCCAAAACGGCCCAAGAAACTTCCAAGAGGTCTCCAAGAGGGCTCCGAGATGCTGAAGATGGCCTCCAGACGTCCAAGGACGCTCCCAAGAGGCCCCAAGAAGCCTCCAACATGCGTCCCAAGAGGGCCCCTAGACGCAAAAATTGGCCCATTCCCTTCGTAAAACGTACATTTTCAACAAAGTTGTCTTTTGGGCTTTCCGACGTTACAGGACGGCCCAAGAGGCGCCCAAGACCGCCCCAAGACGGCCCAAGAAGCTTCCAAGAGGGCCCCAGGACAGCCCAAGAGGGCCCCAAGACGGCCCAAGAGGCGCCCAAGATGGCCCAAGAGGGCCCCAAGACGGGCCCAAGAGGGGGCCCAGAGGGGGACCACGAACCGCAAGCTCGAGCCTTCCGCCCCAAGAGGCCGCCAGGAGGCCCCCAGGAGGCCCCTCAAGAGGCCCCAGGAGACCCCAGACGTCCAAGGACGCCCCCAAGACGCCCCAAGAAGCCTCCAACATGCGTCCCAAGAGGGCCCCTAGACGCAAAAATTGGCCCATTCCCTTCGTAAAACGTACATTTTCAACAAAGTCGCCTTTTGGGCTTTCCGACGTTACAGGACGGCCCAAGAGGCGCCCAAGACCGCCCCAAGACGGCCCAAGAAGCTTCCAAGAGGGCCCCAGGACAGCCCAAGAGGGCCCCAAGACGGCCCAAGAGGCGCCCAAGATGGCCCAAGAGGGCCCCAAGACGGGCCCAAGAGGGGGCCCAGAGGGGGACCACGAACCGCAAGCTCGAGCCTTCCGCCCCAAGAGGCCGCCAGGAGGCCCCCAGGAGGCCCCTCAAGAGGCCCCAGGAGACCCCAGACGTCCAAGGACGCCCCCAAGAGGCCCCAAGAAGCCTCCAACATGCGTCCCAAGAGGGCCCCTAGACGCAAAAATTGGCCCATTCCCTTCGTCGTACATACATGTTCAACAAAGTTGTCTTCTGGGCTTTCCGACGTTACAGAACGGCCCAAGAGGCGCCCAAGACCGCCCCAAGACGGCCCAAGAAGCTTCCAAGAGGGCCCCAGGACAGCCCAAGAGGGCCCCAAGACGGCCCAAGAGGCGCCCAAGATGGCCCAAGAGGGCCCCAAGACGGGCCCAAGAGGGGGCCCAGAGGGGGACCACGAACCGCAAGCTCGAGCCTTCCGCCCCAAGAGGCCGCCAGGAGGCCCCCAGGAGGCCCCTCAAGAGGCCCCAGGAGACCCCAGACGTCCAAGGACGCCCCCAAGAGGCCCCAAGAAGCCTCCAACATGCGTCCCAAGAGGGCCCCTAGACGCAAAAATTGGCCCATTCCCTTCGTAAAACGTACATTTTCAACAAAGTTGTCTTTTGGGCTTTCCGACGTTACAGGACGGCCCAAGAGGCGCCCAAGACCGCCCCAAGACGGCCCAAGAAGCTTCCAAGAGGGCCCCAGGACAGCCCAAGAGGGCCCCAAGACGGCCCAAGAGGCGCCCAAGATGGCCCAAGAGGGCCCCAAGACGGGCCCAAGAGGGGGCCCAGAGGGGGACCACGAACCGCAAGCTCGAGCCTTCCGCCCCAAGAGGCCGCCAGGAGGCCCCCAGGAGGCCCCTCAAGAGGCCCCAGGAGACCCCAGACGTCCAAGGACGCCCCCACGACGCTTCGCGTCACCAATTTCTTCTCACAACGATTCCTGGGTCTGTGACTCGACAGAACCTAAGCGCGCGCGAAGCGCGCGCGTGGTTCTAGTTCAATATTACACCTTCCGCGGTGTGCCAGTACGCCGACTGCACATTACACGACGGTTCATATTGCCGCTTTTTCACCCCAGTCCCCTATAACCGGCCTCCACGCCTTAGGTCCTAGGCCCGCTCATTATCTTTGTTGCGATTCAAATGCTTAGCGGGGGTCATTCTAGGGGCACCGCTTTTTGCGTGCGTAGTTGTCCCATCACTGTTGCGGGCGAGCAAGTGCGCATAGTTGGACTGTACCTCTTCCTTTTTGGGCTTGTGGGTGACGTAGTCGTGTAAGGTGTAAGGCGCTATCCATCGAGCTCGTTCGATCCAAATCGAGTTTATGGGAAGTGGCCTCGTCGGTTGGTCAGATCATCTACTGCCACTGAACCACTGGTTCGCCACTGTTTTCGCTACTGGGTGCCCACACGATTACGGTTGGCACCCGAATACCATCCGACATGCTAATGTTATATTGAGGATTATGGTGTTCTCGTTGTTTTTTTTGGGCGGCGATTGCTGTTGCAAATGCTGTTCTTGATGTTGGGTTTGTTCATGGTGGTTGTGATGTTGGTGATGACAATGATGCACTCGATCATTTGGTTCGTTCGTGATATAACTGTGGTTTTTGCTGTTGCTTTTGATGTTGATATGGATGGTGTTGTGGAGCAGCGTGTTTGGGTCGGGACTTGTTGTTTGTTTATGCCTCGCGTGTTTGCCAAGTTGCGGCATTTGCGTGCTGACTGCGCTGATCTTGCGCGCTCGTTGGTTGCATGGCCTCGTCCTCTCGCCCAGCTGCGCGTCGATCCGCTTGCGCCTGTCCCACATGAAACTTCGCACTACCTTATACTTTTGCAGTTTCGCCTCCCGAGCTTTGGCCTTATATTTTTTTTTCGGATGATCTTCTCGCTTTTGCTTTAGCGTGTCGCGCTGCCCGCCCTGGAACATCACGCTTCGGCGCGACAAGCTAACCACGTCCTGGCCCCCCAGGCGTCCGCATCCCGAGCCTTTCCCAGTCTCCCGTCCACCGGAGCGCAGCGACACGACATCCGCCTGCCAGTCATGGCGTGTGGCCGGGGCCGCCGCCGAGGCACACGCTAAGCGAAGGTTTCCGACTTTTGTCAGGCCAGGTATGTCCAAGTGTCTGGGCAAGTGAACGGCGACGGGGGATAGAGTTTAGCATGGCTGCGGGTTCTCAGCCACAGTCAGTAGGCACGTCTTGCTCTCGCCGTATGGCGAATGTGCTTGTGTTTGCCGCGTGATGGTGAGACCAATGATTTCTTGTATGTTGACTTGAGCATCCACGGCATGAGTCAGCGTGTTGCTCTTTCATATTTAATATACGCGGGGGAGGATCATCAATGGCGTGTTCATGCAGGACTCTGGGTTTTGCATTACGTTTGCTCCCCATCTTGCCAAAAGAAAGGGGTGTGCATGCTGAATCCGGTCAATTCTTCGGTCCCGCAATCTCTTGTGCTTTTGCGTGCGGTTCTTTCATGACGCATTTTGGTCGCGTGTGTCGTATGAGGACCCATCACATTAGGCATGTTCGCAATGTTGCTCTTCCGCTGTACACCCCGAGGCTTGTGACCTCATCGTTCTGCTCCTCCTATTGCTCCTCCTTCTCCTTCTCGTCTCCCATTCCTCCCCACATTGGGGAAGAGGAGGTCCGCAACAATGTCGGCTGCTCGCAGTTCGGAGAGGTCCTTGGCTCCTCGGGACCCTCTGCCCCTGCTGGCCCGCCCGGCAGCCGCACCGCCCGGACCGCGACCTGCCCCCCGCATGATGGCGCCGAGCACGTGGACGCCGGAGGAGCTGAAGATCACGCGCACGCTGGTCTCGTGGCGAAAGCGCTTCGTGGTCACCACGGAGCGGAAGGTCGACACGAAGAGCGAGGCGGGGTACATGGTTGTGAAGAACTACCTCCGGTGCCTGGACGCCGCGTTCCAGGTGTTCCAGGTGGAGCCTGCCTCCCGCCACTACCGCCGGTCGTTCACTCCAAAGTACCAGAGCAAGTGGCCTGGGCTGTCCCGCCTGCTGCGGGTGGATGTCCTCGAAGCGAGCAACCAGCAGATGATCTTGATGAACGGGTTCTGGTTCGAGCTCGGCCCGACAGCCGTGGACCTCGCGGGCCTCATGCGTCACGCGTGGGCGGAGCTCGGGCGGCTGCTGAAGCGCCTGATCGTGGAGCAGCTCGCCGCGCGGCCATGGAGCATGGAATTGAAGGCGGAGATGCGGTGCGCTTTGAAGGAGCTCGATGCCGCTTGGGCGAAGTTCGAGTGCGCGTACGTGATGCAGGCGATGGCCATCGAACAAGAGGCGCGAGTGCTGGTGGCGGAGGCGTGCGTCTGCGAGCGGGTCCTGTCCAAGGCGTCCCAGCGCCGTGGCCGCCGCGGCGGCACCGCGGCTTGCCAGAAACAGCTCGGGGAGCTGGTAAGGGCGATCAACTTGCTCAGCTCCACAGTCTGCGACGAGAGCCGGATGCGCGCTGCTGATCTGAGTCTTGTCACGCGATCCCTCTCCGAGGCCAAGTCCATTCTGGAGTCTGCCAGGCTGCAGAATCACCACCAGAGACCCACCCCCGCACACGCCCTCGCGACCTGGGCGACAGGCGCATTCGAGGCTGTCCGGGACTACCTGCGCATCGCCTGGCACAACTTGGAGTCCCTCGACGGCGAGCTCGCGAACAATCCCGGCCTCGTTGCCAACTTCGACCGCTTCCAGGAGAGCATGTCCGCCACGGCGCGCTACCTCGCCGACCCGAGGCTTCTGCGCGGCCTGAACTGCGCCGCCGCCTTCGTGCGCGCGGCGTGCGCCACTGCGCCCGGTCTGGCGATCCTGGGCGCAGACTGCGACGCGGACTTCTTCGTGGCCCTCCCGAGGATCGTCTGGCTGGGCTTCCTCTCGGCGCCAGACCAGACCAGCCCGCTGATCGAGCACATGCTGCCCGGGCTCTTCACCGCGCCCCAGGTCCGCGGCCCCGACCTGCAGGCGCTCCTGGAGGCGTACGGCCAGACGGTGGAGAGGCTCGCCACCGCAGCGGGCAAGGGGCTCCCGGGGCCGGAGGGGGGCGACTCGGAGGGCCACAGGCGTGCGCTCGACATGCTGGTGCAGCGTGCAGCGGTCGGCATCGGCCAGGAGGGCTCGAGCGCCGAGGCGGAGGGTTTCCTGCGCCGCCTCGAGGGGTGGAGCATGCGCCTGCAGCGGCAGCAGCCGGAGGTCTGGAACGAGCTCGCCGCCATTCTCCTCCAGCACCTTCTCGGGCACGCGCCGTGAGGGATGGAAGCGACGGTGACCGCGGAGGGCCGCGCCGCTTCGCACGTTCCCGAGCATCTCACAGCACATCAGAGCTAGCTGGGCGGGAGGAGGGGAGCGTGGTGGAGAAGGGAGAGGACGGGGAGGACCGGCCGAAGCAGACGAAGAGGCAGGATGGATGTTCCGTGTTGCGGCCTTGTTGCAGCTCGTGGGCACAGTCTGTCCTTGCTCCGGCGACCCGTCGAGGACGAGAAGGAGGTCTCCAGAGGTCCCAGAAGCCTTAGTGGGCCCTGGAAACGGCAGGGCCGTTTTTTTACCGGTTCCGTTTTGCCGTTTTGTTGCCGGTTCCGACGCCGTTTTTTTACCGGTTCCGTCGCGGTTTTTTGTCCGGTTCCGGCTCCGGTTCCGATCCTGGAGCCGTTTTTTTGCCGTTTCCGGTCGCCGTTTTTTTGCCGTTTCCATTTTCAAGGGACATTTTTTGGAAACGGTGAAAAAACCGGCCCTGCCGTTTCCGGGGCCCACAAAGCCAGAAGCTACTTGGAACCCTCAGGGGGTCTAAGCAATACAGACGCCCCCAATCAGCACGCGAAAGCGCCTCGCGCGATCCGCGCGCCTGGCGCCTCGGCGCTGCAGGCGGTGTCTGGCCTGGGAGGCTGGATGAAGCGCTGGCCTCTCCGACCAGCAGCCCCGGCAGGGGTGCGGCACACTGTTCTCGGGGCTCCAGAGACGGGGGTCAGTGCAAACAGGGGTCAGCCAGAGCGCCAGATCTTGCAGGATCCTGCAGAGGCAGGGCCCAGGCTTGCGCGCAGGATCCTGCAGCACCCTGCCGGGTCCTGCAGGATCCTGCGGAGCCTGACTGACCTCACCGAGCGCATTCCACTACTCGCAAAACGCTTACTTGCAAACGTCCGAACCACAACTATATGTGTGTATATATATATACAGAGAGAGAGAGAGAAATACAAGTACGGTTGACGATAACTATGATAATGAGTTGTAAATAACAGTATCAATACTAGACTCAAAATAATACTAATAATAATATGAAGAAGAATAATAAGAATAATAATAATGTACCGTGACCCCCCCACGGCGGATCGAGACCATTCGCGAGTACAGTAAGAGCTTCTGCGGGCAGGGGAACGTGCTTGTCCGTGACCTGGGCCTGGAGGGACCCGAGCCAGTAGATCCCCGAGGCTCGAGCGGGCAGCCCCGACGAGTCGATAGTCGGAGTTCGAGGTTCAAGCCCTGTCCAGCATTCCCCCTCCTCCTCCTCCTCCTCCTCCTCCTCCTCTTCTCCTCCTCCTCCGCCCTCCTCCTCCTCCCTCCTTCTCCTCCTCCTCCTCCTCCTCCTCCTCCTCCTCCTCCGCCCTCCTCCTCCGCCCTCCTCCTCCGCCCTCCTCCTCCTCCTCCTGCTCCTCCTCTTCCTCCTCCTCTTCCTCCTCTTCCTCATCATCCTCTTCCTCCTCTTCCTGCTGGCCCTATAGCACGTCAGTGGGCTTCGGGAGCCCTGCCGGACCCAGTCTCTGCGCTGGTAAAGAACACAGAGTGGGCCACAGGAGTCTTCTCGTCGCCACGGATGGGTTCCCGTGGAAATTCTGGCCAGGACCCCTTGCAAGAGATGTCGCCGAAGAAGGAAATCGCAGGGAACGCAGACTGCCGGCGCTCCGCGCGGACTTCTTGGATCGGCGCTGGGCTCCTCCGGCGCCGCCCCTGGCGCGCTCAATCCGCGCGGAGCGCCAGAAGTTTATGTTGATTGCATCTTTTCTTCTTCTGTGTCGGGGGGGGGACGACTCGTCAGTGTCAAGGGCAAGGGAGGCCTGAGGGAAGGCGTTGGGTCATGCTCGATTCCTTGTGGCCCTTCCCGGCCTGCTGTGGCTGAAAAAGTAGCCCCACGGGGCCCAGTGTCGGTTTCTCTCAGGGCCCTTTGTCCCCCATGACAACAGAGGGTGGGAGGTGAGATGGATGCTCTCCGGGGCACTACGGCTGGCTGTAATAGCAAGACGGTACCCCGCTGCCTAATTTCAGCCAGTGTAGATACCCTGATAGCTCATCCTGGCTCCGCGTGCTCTTCCGCGTCGCCATGGCGGAGATACGCCAACTCCGCTTCCGCCTCAGGTCCAGCCTGCGATGCGGGAGCGCGGCGCGAATTAGGTGCAGGCACCATCGTGCCTGACCACCTCGCGGCATCAGGCCGCCCACACTTCGGGCCCAAGTCCGCACACGTTTTTTTTTGTTGATCCGAGCGTCCCATGTCCCATCCCCGGCGAGGGAAAGCATCGGCCCCGAGAATCAGGGGCCTTGCTCACCCCAGCTGGCACAAGGGAGAGGAAGCAGGGGCGGAGGAGAGGAGGGGGGGGCAGCTGCGCCCCCACGCCGAGCGGCGCACGGCCGCGCAGCTCGCAGCACTGCGCGCCCCGGTCCAGGACGACCGCGTCGTGCTCCGCCACTGCGCTGACAGACGTCGCTCGGTGATGCGTGAGCACATGCGTCAATCCGCCGTCCTTCGGGCGACAGGTTCGAGCACGAGCGAACTGGTTTCGTCATCTTCTCTCCTGGCTCTGTCAGAGAGGCGCGCACCGCCTCGGGTCGCCACCTCTGCAGGCCGACCCCGCTGCCCGGCGGGGGGCGGAGCAGTTTCGTGGAGCTGGGCTGTCCTTCATCGCACCGGCCTCATGACTAGTTTGTTTTTGATCCTGGATGTCGGGGGCGGACAAGAGGGGGGTGATGACTAGGGGGGGGTGGATGTCATGGCGTGGGCCATGATATTTCCCCAGAATTAATGGCGCCTCTTCTTATTTCATTGGGTCCCTGGCCCCCCCGCTGGACCGCGCACATGCCGCCGGTCATGATTTGCACCCCCCCCTCTTGGACCCCCCCCTCTTGGCCGCTCCCGAGGATGGTTGTTTTTTCGGTCGGCAGGGACTCACACGGCTCACCGAGCAGCACCGTTGGCGCCGCCGCGGAACTCTCGCGGCGTCGCTGCGAGGGCCGTGGAGTGTGCGCCCCCAGCGCCTGCAGCGCGAGGTTTTGCAACGGGCTCGCAGCTACACGCTGCACACCTATGTAGCCAAGAGATGTGTACGTCTATATGTATAGATAGATACTCCAGATTTCGTAATAAAAGGGATGGGGTCTGGACCCTCCAAGACAAGCCATTTCAGACCTCCCCCGTGGGAGAACCCTCCAAAACATCGTCCCCAGACCCCCCGGGCCCTCCAAGATAGCCTGGAAGAGATCCCCCCCCGAAATGAGACCCCCCTCCCTTTATTACGAAATCTGGAGTACACAGATTCGCCAGCGCGTCCCCCAAACAGTATGTCAGTCAGTCACTGCACTGGATGTGAAAGTTTTGCGGTGTAAGCTCAGTGGTGCAAGCGATGTGGTGCAAGGTAAGTGGGACAATCGACGTGGTGCAGTCTGCGTGGTGCAAGCGGAGTGGTGCAAGCGGAGTGGTGCAAGGTATGTGCTGCAAGCTATGCTGGGTGAGCTATGTGGTGCACTCTACGTGATGAAAGTAATGCATGGGAACAATGTGGTGTAGGCATTGTGGTGCAACATATGTGGTGCAACACGCTTGCTGCAAGCTACGTGGTGGAAGCTATGTGGTGCAAGTTGTGCAGTGCAAGCTATGTGGTGCACGCTGTGTTGGACAATCTACGTTGTACAATCTGTGTGGTGCAGGCGATGTGGTACAAGCCATGTGGTGTAAGGTATGTGGTGCAAGCTATGCGGTGCACGCTTTGTTGTGCAAACTAGCCGCCGAGGGCCGACGAGACCGCCCCAGAACTGGCAGCGCATGAGCAATCCCCCTCTGAGACGCCGGGGAGCCCCCTTGGTGATCGTTTTCTTATTCGTTGTTTTGCCGATCGGCGTGGGCCCTCGCCCTCCCCCCTCCCCCTCCCCCCCCCCCAAAGAGAAGATCTTGGCTGTGTTTGGCGCCTGTTTCGAACAGGTGGAGTCTTCCCCATGGGACGCACTGTTGCAAACAGTCGTGCTAAGCAGATGTCCGATTCCAGATCCCCCCCTCCCCCGACCCCCTTCCGCCCAATGTCGAAACGCCGAATAAGACAACGTTCACTTGCCTCCCTCAGAAAAGCCGCGGCCCTCGCCCCAACGCTCTCCTTTCTAGGCCTCCTAGAAGGGGTCCGAGTGCAGTCAACCCGCATAGCAAGGATGGGCGGCCTTCCCAAGGGTGCCCTTGCACCCATGCCTCCTGGGTCCATCCTTGGCGACTCTCGCCTGTCAACCTGTTCGAAAAACGCTAAAGGTGGCCCTCCAAGGCCCTTGCATCCTTACCTCGCATCCTCATGATACGGGTCGACTGCAGATGGGGTCGGAGGATCGCGTCGCATCGGCAATGCATCGGCGATATCCGGCTCGATGCGGAGCACGATCTTCGCCGCGCTGGCGGAGGCGATGCATCGCCGACGGCGTTGATGCACCGCCGATACATCGCCGTTGCATCGGCGATGCATCGCCGATGCGGCGCGTTCCTCCGACCCCATCTGCTCGAACCCGATTTGGGAGACATCTATCCTTGCCCGAAGTAGAGACAACGCCGTAGACATAAACTTTTGGCGCTCCGCGCGGATTTCTTGGATCCGCGCTGGCCCCCCCCCGGCGGCGCCCCCGGCGCCGCCCCTGGCACGCTTCGCGCGCCGGGGAGGGGGGCCCAGCGCAGATCGAGAATGCCGCGCGGACCGTCGAAGGTTAATGGTTGTGCCGCTGTTTCTTCCTCTAGGCTCGGCGCCGCCTCCTGTTCGTCCTCCTCTGCTCCACCCCGGCGGGGCGGCGCGAGAGCGCCAAGGCCTTCGCGCCCTCGCGCTCGGCGCGGTGCGCGGGCTCAGCTGCCCCCGCTTCCTGGCGCACGGTCGTCAGGTGTTCGTGCTGTGGGCCTCCTGGGGGCCCACCCGGGGGACCTGTTCGACGTCTGGTTCGAGCATGGCTCAACCCTTGCGTCAAGTCGGGCACGTCCCTCTACAGGAGGAATACAGTATTCAGAGATAATCAGAAAATAGTCAGGGGGCGATGTTCCGATTATTTGTTGAGCAATGCTGATAGTTTTTCCCAACCACCCTGTGGTGTTGGGTCTTCGTTTTGAAGAGACAGCGCCCCGCGTCCCACCTCCTTCCTCCTTCCTCCTCCTCTCCTCCTCCTCCCTCCTCCCCCATCCTTGCCTTTGCTCTCCGCATGTCTCAGCTCACCCCCTCCTCCCATCATCATCATCATCATCATCATCATCATCATCATCATCAGCATCATCATCATCATCATCATCATCAGCATCAGCATCAGCATCATCATCATCCTCATCATCATCATCATCATCATCATCACCACCACCATCATCATCATCATCAGCAGCATCATCATCATTATCAGTATCATTATCATTAGCATCATCATCATCACCATCACCATCACCATCACCATCACCATCACCATCACCATCATCGCATCATCGGCATCGCCATGGCTGATTCGTTTCGTGGCCCCATAGGGAGCTCCACCGAAGGCCCCAGTGGGGGGGGGCGCATGCGTCCCTCACGCTCAGGGCAGCGCTTCGTGGCCCCATAGGGAGCTCCACCGAAGGCGCAGCATGCGGCTCCCACGCCCAGCACAGCGCTTTGTGGCTTCATAGGGAGCTCCAGCGAAGGCCCCAGTGTGGGGGGGGGGGGGGGCGCATGCGTCCCCCACGCTCAGGGCAGCGTTTCGTGGCCCCATAGGGAGCTCCACCGAAGGCCCCAGTGGGGGGGGCCGCATGCGTCCCCCACGCCCAGCACAGCGCTTCGTGGCCCCATAGGGAGCTCCACCGAAGGCCCCAGTGGGGGTGCCGCATGCGTCCCCCACGCCCAGCACAGCGTTTCGTGGCCCCATACGGAGCTCCACCGAAGGCCCCAGTGGGGGTGCCCGCATGCGCCCCCCACGCCCAGCACAGCGCTTCGTGGCCCCATAGGGAGCTCCACCGAAGGTTCCAGGTCTACCGTCCGCATGCGTCCCCCCCCACACACAGTACAGCGTTTCGTGGCCCTCATCCCCCTCCTCCCTGCGTTTCACACACACCCAGTACAGCGTTTCGTGGCCCCCAGAGGGAGCTCCACTGAAGGTTCCAGGTCTACCGTCCGCATGCGTCCCCCCCACCCAGTACAGCGTTTCGTGGCCCTCCTCCCCCTCCCTCCCTCCCTGCGTTTCACACACCCAGTACAGCGTTTCGTGGCCCCCAGAGGGAGCTCCACTGAAGGTTCCAGGTCTACCGTCCGCATGCATCCCCCCTACCCAGTACAGCATTTCGTGGCCCTCCTCCCCCTCCTCCCTGCGTTTCACCCACCCAGTACAACGCTTCGTGGCCCCATAGGGAGCTCCACCGAAGGTTCCAGGTCTACCGTCCGCATGCGTCCCCCTCACCCAGTACAGCGTTTCGTGGCCCTCCTCCCTCTCCTCCCTGCGTTTCACCCACCCAGTACAGCGTTTCGTGGCCCCGTAGGGGGCTCCACCGAAGGTCCCACTGGCACCGCCCGCGTGCGCCGGCCACCACCCAGCACAGCCCTTGCTCCCTGCGTTTCACCCACCCAGCACAGCGTTTCGTGGCCCCGTGAGGGGGCTCCAGCGAAGGTCCCAGTGGCACCGCCCGCATGCGTCCGCCACCACCCAGCACAGCCCCTGCCCCTTGCGTTTCACCCACCCAGTACAGCGCTTCGTGGCCCCATAGGGGGCTCCAGCGAAGGTCCCAGTGGCATCGTCCGCATGCGTCCGCCACCACCCAGCACAGCCCTTGCTCCCTGCGTTTCGCCCACCCAGAACAGCGTTCCGTGGCCCCATAGGGAGCTCCACCGAAGGTCCTAGTGGCACCGCCCGCATGCGTCAGCCACCTCCCAGCACAGCGCTTGCTCCCTGCGCTTCGCCCACCCAGTACAGCGCTTCGTGGCCCCATAGGGAGCACCGAAGAAGATATTCACAATTGCGGTATTCACAACTGCATATGGTTGGGGCCTTCGCCGGGCTAATTATTATTATTGTTTTTCCCAACCATCCTGTGGTGTTGGGTCCTCGTTTTGAAGAAACGGTCCCCGCGTTTTCCTCTCCTCTCCTCTCCTCTCCTCTCCTCTCCTCTCCTCTCCTCTCCTCTCCTCTCCTCTCCTCCTCCCTCCTCCCCCTCCGCGTCAGCCACACCCACTTCGGCACACCCCTCACACGTTTCGTGGCCCCATAAGGAGCTCCACCGAGGGCTCCAGTGGCTGCGTCCGAATGGCGGCACCGCGCCCATTTCGGCTCGTGTCCCCTGAGGGAGCTCCACCGAAGGCCCCAGTGGCTGCGTTCGCATGGCGGCACCGCGCCCATTTCGGCACACCCCTCACACGCTTCGTGGCCCCATAGGGAGCTCCACCGAGGGCCCCCGTGGCTGCGTTCGCATGGCGGCACCGCGCCCATTTCGGGACAGTCCTCACACGTTTCGTGGCCCCATAGGGAGCTCCACCGAGGGCCCCAGTGGCTGCGTCCGCATGTCGGCACCGCGCCCATTTCGGCACACCCCTCACACATTTCGTGTCCCCTGAGGGAGCTCCACCGAAGGCCCCAGTGGCTGCGTTCGCATGGCGGTACCGCACCCATTTCGGCACACCTCTCACACGTTTCGTGGCCCCTTAGGGAGTTCCCTCTCATTCGCTCAACCTGCTTCGCGGTACTCGTAACTGCATATGGTCGGGTCCATCGCCAGGATAATTTTTTCACAAAGAGGTTTCGCCAAAAATCCGCCAGTAGGAGGACACGCCCGACCTGACCCTTGCGGTCGCCGGTGAGAGAGGCAGCCCGCCACCGCCCTCCCGAGGCCCGGCGCCGGGCAGGCCGCGGCCGCTGCCCCCGGCACACCGCGCCGCGGCAGGGATCGCCCCCCGTGGCACGGGAGAGGCCGGCCTCCTCCTCCTCCTCCTCCTCCTCCTCCTCCTCCTCCTCCTCCTCCTCCTCCTCTCCTCCTCCTCCTCCTCCTCCTCCTCCTCCTCCTCCTCCTCCTCCTCCTCCTCCTCCTCCTCCTCCTCCTCCCTCCTCCTCCTCCTCCCTCCTCCTCCTCCTCCTCCTCCTCCTCCTCCTCCTCCTCCTCCTCCTCCTCCTCCTCCTCCTCCTCTCCTCCTCCTCCTCCTCCTCCTCCTCCTCCTCCTCCTCCTCCTCCTCCTCCTCCTCCTCCTCCTCCTCCTCCTCCTCCTCCTCCCGGGGGAGGGACCCCCCCCCATCAGTTCGGGAGCCAAGGGACCCAGACCCCCTCGAGTTATGAGAAAACCACGGTGGGAGGCTTTTCGTTGTTTTGGCCTCTGGGGGCCCTTACCGGCCCTCGGGGCCGTCAAAAAACGACTCGGGACGAAGAACGGGTCGACCGGGGAATGGGTCCAGACTGCGGGGGGTCGACGTCATGAAAAATTCATGATGTCGGGGGTCTGGGGACGGGGGTCAATGCAGACGGGGGTCAGCCAGGGCGCCAGATTCTGCAGGATCCTGCGGAGACCCCCTCTGGCTGGCCCGGGTTCGCGAGCCGCTCGTGGCCGCGAGGCGGCCGCGCCTATATTGGCTGACCCGGGTTTGCGAAGACATGCGTTGCAGTTTTTTTTTTCTACATTGCAGTTGTTTGGTTTCCTGCTGACCCGGGTCTGGATTGTTGACCCAGGTCAGAAGATCCCCGATCAGTGCTTGCACAGGGGTCCTAGCGGAAGTTGAAAGATTTGGCGAAAGTTTCCCGCCGATTTTGGCGGCAGGTTGGGTTCCCGAGTTTGCGGGTTCCGGGTTCCGGGGTTCCCACCGATTGGTTCTGGGCCGATTTCCCCGGGTTCTGGGTTCCCAGGCTCCCGGGTTCCCGGTCGATCTCCTCAGCGAAAACCATCACTGATTGGGGTTTTCTTTGGTGTAATCCTTTTGTCCAGCCGTCGAGTGGGGGATTGGCGGTAGAATCGATGCTTCCCAGAACGGATTGGCTCGTCGAAGCTGCAGGACCAGTGCGCAGAATGTGTGTGTGTGGGCCCACGGACATTCTGTTAGGGGGCCACATGCGAACCCTACCCCACCCTCCCCCTCAGAAATCGTGGGGGGTAGGGGTAGGGTTCGCATGTGGCCCCCTATCTGTGCGCATGCATGGCTCGCAGATTCGACGGCATCCTCAGATCTGGGGCAGATCCGCTCTGCAGCCGCTCTGCTGCACCTCAGTATCGGCCCCTATGGAGCCCGCCATCGGCTCCCCGGGCCATCCAGAGTGGACCGGGGTTCTGTCGGGCGTGTCCACCATACAGGGGGGATTTTCGACGACAAATAAAAAATACCCCCAAACGTACCCCGAAAAGGTCAAACATAGATTCAAGAATAGTCCCCTGATTATTTTTGGATTATTTTCTTGATCATTTTTGGGGATACTTGTTTCTTGATTATTGTTGGGGTACTTTTTATTTTTGATCATTGTTGGGGTGTTGATCTGGATTATTTTTTGATTATTTTCTTGCTTATTTTGGGGGGTACTTTTGATGTTTCGCCGGGCGACGGCCTATCCTCTGGGAAGGGGCCGAGGTCGCGGAGGGAGAGGAGCACATCGCGGGCCGCCTGCCGGGAGCTCGGCCCGCGCGGCCGTGCCTTGAAGCTCGCGGAGGGGCAGCGAACGCTCACCTCGTGGGACCTGGCCCCCGAGGGGAGGAGGAGGAGGAGGAGGAGGAGGAGGAGGAGGAGGAGGAGGAGGAGGAGGAGGAGGAGGAGGGAGGAGGGGGAGGGAGGAGGAGAACGTGCTTCCCGTCGGCATCTGAGGAGCTCGCTCGTTTCTGGGGCGACGGGGGAGAGGGCAATGCTTTTGTTTCGGGGGAGCGTAAGACCCGGGTTTGCCAGGACTCGGGTTCGCCATCGTTTTTTGACGACCGCGCCTCGGATTTTGACGAGGAGGAGTTTCGTGGGATGTCTGCAGCGGGAGGCCTCGTCAAAATGCGGGCTCGGCCTCGTCATTTTTTTGACGACCTCGTCGGGGATTTCCGAGTCCCCCGTACCCGGGTCTTACGTCTCCCCGATTGTTGGGCAAGAGCAAGCATGAGCAGCCCAATCGTCGGCAAGAGCAAACATGAAGCCAGAGCTTCTCGCGAAGGGCGGCTGGAAGCATTGCCGTTGACCGATCAAGCGCGCCCGCCGAGCGTACGGGGATCTGGCCCTCGACACAACGCTGCCCCCAGCGACCTTCAAGCCGTGCCCCTGGATCGGGCCGTCCCCGTGGCGCCGGAGAGGCCAGGCGAGGCGGTGGCATTCTGGGCGCCGCGTGTCCATAACGTCTTGGAGCCTGTTGTTTTTAGACTCTGGCAGGTTTACTTGCATGGACGTGGGGGGGGGCTGAGCCTGAAGCAAGCCGCAAACGACTTGCACGTTCGGGGGGGCGCGGCAATCACGCGAGTCGAAAGGCACTTGCGCGCTGGTATTAATCTCGAAGAGGGGCGAGGGGGGGGGGGGGGGGGGCGAACGCCATGCAAGTAACCTTGCCCGAATCCAAAAAAAAAACAGGCTCTAACGTCTTGCGTGAGGCCCCGCCTGCTCCCGCCCCTTCTCTGCCAATGAAAGCTGTGCGAGTCCCCCGGGGCTTTTAGCGGAAGAGGCTCGCTCTCGCCCTGCAGATCAAAAGAGTCCACAACGTTTGCTCTGGAGGATGGGAATGGGTACGGAAAGAATGGGAACGAAGGCCGACAGCAGCATGGTCTTGTTGGAGCCGGCTGGAGGTCCAGGGTGCCGCAGCACTGGTTCCGGCGAGCAGAGAGGGGGGCGAGATTTGAGCTTCTGGGTTCGAGATTTCGTTTCGCCTTGTTCGTTGAGCGGATGTTCCTTGATCCTTTCTTCTCGACATACGCTCTCGACGTCAATCCAGTTCAGACCCGCCAGACTCGCTGCCAGTGCTGCCGGAGACGTGGTTTATTTGAGACACTTCAAGGTCGCCTGCCCAGCAGCGGCCGCTCTCGGTGTTGTTTGGCCACTCGTTGGCGGATGTCGTGCCCAGTTTCTGCTGTACCCATTTCGGGCGTGCCAGTATGTCTGCATCCGTCTTCCTCCCCTTCCCTGTTCTCCTCCCCCTCCTCTTTCTGCCCGCCCTGGCCTGTGTGGCCACGGTCGTCTTCAGCACGCACGGGCGCTGCTGTTCTGAGGAGAAATGGCACCGCCGAGCGAGAGCAGAAAACAGTTGGAGTGAGCCGGCTTGCTCTCTGCGCCGAATCCAGGATCTTAGACACTTTATATCTCTTGAGTTAAGATGTTTCCTTCTTCACTCCTCACCGCACGTGTACCCGGTTAGGGTACCGTTGCCAATTGGTGGGTGGCCGCAAGCCATGTAGTGAAACTACATAGAGCTTGCCGAGTTTTTTTGTCGCACCGCTCCCAGACCCCCGAAGTCTTGAGTTTTTCCAACACGTCGACCTCCCAAGGTTTCGACCCGTTCCCCGGGACCTCCCATTTCATCCCGACTCGATGTTTGACGGTCCCGAAGCCCAGTAAGGGCGCCCAAAGTGTGAAAATGGCGAACAGTTGTCCGTCATGATCTGTTCATGGCTCGAGGGGGTCTGGTTCATAGCCAACCCGCACAGTGAGGATGCGCGACTTCCCAGGGTTCCCCCTGCAACCCTCCCCCATCAGCCCATCCTCAGCCGCCCCCGCTGGCCGCGCCCCGCTCGCGAGATGGCGACATGGCCTACCGAGGCTCTCGCATCCTTCTCGCGCATCCTCACCGGCGGCGGCGCGCCCGCAGGGACGAAAGCCCGAGCGATTTTTAGTGCGCAGCGCCGCTGCCCGACCTTCACTGACCGTCTTCTCCCGGACCCACCGTGGGCGCGCGCGGCGCTGCTTCTGCTTCCCTTTCCCTTTTCGGAGGAGGGCAACGTGAGACAACGGCCGTGAGACAACGGTGGCCAACTCGGCTCAAAATCGGTCCCCGAACCCCTCCCAGGGTCCAACCGCACCGGTTTTTCACGCTGCGTCCAGCCGTGGCGACGAGGAGGCCCCTCGGAGACGGAAAAGGCAAGAACGTCACCCTTGTCTCACCCTGCCCTCCTCTGACCTTTGGCGCCTGCTGGCGCGCCATGCCGCCGGCGATCGCCGGCGTCGACTGTATCAGACCGCTTTGCAGCGCGTCGTGCCCTTGGCGTCGCTCGGACGTGTGCATTTCTTTTCTCGGCGAGAACCACCGAGGACCATCCTTCATCATTTGGCGAAAAAAAAAAAAAAAAAAACACGCACGAAACCGAAAAATACACGGGGAATGGACGTCCGAGCGATGGCCAGTGCCCGGCACCGCGGATAATTCGGGGGGGGGCCCAGGCGGAGCAGGCGCGCGGGCCTCCACGAACGTTACATAGGGGCGCCTCGGGCGCCCTGCCTGAGCACGGTGGGACTGGACTGCAGCGTGAGGTCGAAAGGAAAACGGAGCGGGAAGGCGCATGAGCCTGTTTTTGTTGGGGATTCTGGCAAGTTTACTTGCATGGCGTTCGCCCCCCCCCCCCCCCCCCCCCCTCGCTCCTTTTCAAGCGAATACTAGCGTGCAAGTGCCTTTCGACTTGCGTGATTTCCGCGCCCCCCCGAACGTGCAAGTCGTTTGCGGCTTGCTTCAGGCTCAGCCCCCCCCCCCGTCCATGCAAGTAAACTTGCCAGAGTCTAAAAAAAAACAGGCTCCATAGTCGAGAGCGGCGCCCTAATGGCTAGCGGGGGCGCATACCTCCAAAGCTGCAGGAGCGCCTTCGAGGCCGAGGTCGTCGCCTTGGACGCGGGTCTGAGAGCTCTTCTTAACGCCTTCTCCTCCTCCTCCTCCTCTGCCGGCCCTCTCCTCCCCTCCCCCTGTGGTTCCAACAGCTTTACATAGCACACAGCGCCGCCAGTCTGTCTCCGGAGAGGTATAGCACAGGCGGTCCATGGACTCGAGCCGAAGTCTGAAAGAAAGAAAGAAAGGAATTCCGAGGCGGAAACTTATACATGACCACCGCCTGGAGGGTCACTTTTCGCAGCCTCGGCAGGCGGTGGATATGGACATATTCGGGCCCCCGGTGGCCGAAATATATCCATATCCACCGCTCGATGGGGCACCAGGACGTCGGTTCCCAGGCTGTGGATGAGATAAATCCCCGCTTCGCAGGAGTGGACCCAGACCCCCTCGAGCTGTGAACTTGTGGCGTCCCAAACTTAGATAGCGGGGCGCCAAGAAAGCTTTCCAACACCCTCCCGAAGGACCTTTGGAAAGCTCTTGGAAAGGGCTTTGGAAGGTGCTTCTGCAAAGCGTCTGGGCGCACGTATTGAGAAACAGCTAGAACATGCCTTCTGGGACACGCGTCAGCTTCAAGAAACTCGCTGCGAGATGTGCCGCCAGAAGATGGAGCTCCGGGGCTACCTTGCGGTACCAGCTTCTACTATGAAGACCTCCTTGCTCTCTACGAGGTGCTGTTGAAACATACTGCGTTTGCCATGGTCCTCCTCCTGCTTTATGGCGCTCGGCAGACGTAGGCGACGAGGCCGTTGCGATCTTCTCTGGGGCAAAATCGGGGGAACGTCAGAGAGCGCATTATGAAGTTAGGCCGTCCGTGAAGCCGCTCGAGAGCAGACCAAGAGGCGCAGGAGGCGCGAAGAGCGACGGGAAGGTGGAGAAACCCGCGAGGGCATGGAGTGTTAGATTTGCGGGCGGCCGCAAAGCAGTCCTCCTCCTCCTTCTCCTCTTACTTCTCCTGGCTGTGATTCTCGTTTTGGCTCGGTGCCTCGTTCTCGGAGCCCCTCGTCGCCATCGGAAACTCTGGGACCCTCTCATGCTGGGCGGACCTCCAGCAGCTCGCCCTCATAGGGTCAAGCATCTCCCTGCACCCCGAAGCCTGCAACGCATCGGGAGCCTGCGATGGAGCCATCCATGGCAGAGTTTCTTGTTGTGAGGTGGCCCGCTTGCTGGCGACTGCCAAAGGAGCGACGTCCTCCTCCTCCTCCTCCTCCTCCTCCCCCCTCCTCCTCCTCCTCCTCCTCCTCCTCCTCCTCCTCCTCCTCCTCCTCCTCCTCCTCCTCCTCCCCCTCCTCCTCCTCCTCCTCCTCCTCCCCCTCCTCCTCGTCGTCCTCCTCCTCCTCCTCCTCCTCCTCCTCCTCCTCCTCCTCCTCGCCAAAAAAGGGGGTGCTCTGCGCCGACACTGGCGCGTATAAGCTGCCCGCGTCAGGTCGCGCGCCAGCGCGCCCGTCTCTCCACAGCAGCGTGCCGCGCCGGCGGCCCGCAGAAGCCACCGCGTGAGGTCGTTGCGCCGTCTCGCGCAAGGCCGCTTTTGTTGATCCTCGCTCGAGGGGGCCACGCTCCACCTCGTCCTCCTCCCACGGCCCTCCTCCTCCTCCTCCTCGCTCCTCCTCTTCCTTCTCCTCCTCCCTGTCCTCCTCCTCCTCCTCCTCCTCCTTCTCCTCCCTGTCCTCCTCCTCCTCTTTTTTTTACCGTTTAGGCTGACCTTGCCGTGACGTTGTGGCGTTCGTGGTGACTGGCGAAAAAAAGATGCGGGTCGAGGGAGAAAAGGCACCTGGCGGGCGCCGCGGAAAATGAGAGAGAGTGAGCGCTGGGCGAGAATATTGTTAAGAGTAGGCGCCCGCCAGGTGTGACGTCACTCACCTCAGATGGATAACAGTGGCGGTAACGATAAGTAATTGAGGGACAGACAGTAGGATTGATCGTGAATGTCGTCGTGACTCAGCAAGTGCAGTGTACTTGGGCTGGCCTGAGAGGCTTGCCTGTACGAAAGGCCGTGCCTGAGGTACGAACAATGTGGCAGAGTAGGAATGTAGCTGCCCCTCCCATCCACAGTACAGGTGCCACCTAGGCCGACTGCGGAGAGTAAAGAAGAGGTACAAAGCTTTTGTTCGATCAGTGATGCGTGCTTGAGTGTAATACATCGTGCGACTGGCCAATATGAACTTCAAACAAGTGTCGCTATAGCGACAAAGTAGGGCGTACGCCTGGCGTCCTGGTATGTGGAGGATAACATGTAGCAGGCTTCCTCTAGTATATATTGGCTTTGACCTGCAGGCGGTAGTGTGCCACCATCGTGCTGTATGACCGTGCAGAAGGAGGTGAGAAAGTATGTGGCAGGAGAAAGTGAGGCAGGGTATGCACGGTGAGGCTTGCCGAAGCTGGGTAAAAAAAGTGTGGTACCTCTGCAGGTTAGCTGTCCTCCACCCTAACTCCTCCAAATCAACCAACCGACCACCCTCCACCCACCCGAGAGTCATATGAGCGCCGTAA